ATAACGATCGATAAAATCGAGCAAATCTGTGGGCACATTTAATGTCGATCAGGTGCCTACAGACATGCTCGATTTTGTGGATCGGTACTGTCGATCGATGTGATGTTTTGAGACAGAAGTTTTGCCGTATCTTTACTTGTAAAGCTGCAATAATATTAATTCGACGCACTAAATTACCAAAGAAACTATGTAAGTAAAAAAATCTGATTCCCACGATTTTGCCTCGGAGGCCCTTGGCGCTGACCGTGTTAAATTATAATTATTCTTTTTGTTTTTATCATAAAACAAAATATAATAATAATAAAAACAAAATTTTTAAATTAAAATGATTAAGTGTTGTTTTAGTCGTAATTATATTGTCTTTTACGGAACTTTTACCTTTTGGCACAAACTAGAGCAAGAACTGCCTGTTTGAGTTTGTCTAGGTCACTCAAAGTAAATTAAAAAACTAGGTAGTTTTTACTCCCTAGGGATTAAATGTGAAAAAAAAATGCACTTTACTCCCTTTGCGTATGGACGCTTTTGACGTTCTTGTTGACGTTTAAAAAATGTCAATTACAAAACCGGAACTAAATAAGGTATAGAAAACCAACTTATGGGGGTTATATATCTCGTTTCGCTGATTCCAGATATGTTAATAACTCAATTTCGCTAATAATGTCGATTACGTCAGTTATGATAACGAGGGCAGAAATCCCCAAGTTTTAAGGATGTCTCCTGTTGACGCTTTTTTCTTGTTCGTAGAAAACCAGTATAAATCTAATCCAACTTAAAAGCCGTTATTCTGTTAAATAAATTTATGGAACAAATTTTATTGAGCCTATATTTCATTGATTGCTAGTGTTAGACCGAGGTGCTTATTAGCAAACGACATAATTATCGCTTTGACGGTAGTATACATGCGACATACAGCATAATTATAACTCAATTAAAATAATTGGTCCTTTGCGAAATTAACACCACACAACTTTTCTGTTACTGGATTTATTGAATACAAGGTGTAGGATTTTTTTGTATGTCGTTTAGTCATAATTTAAGGAAACAATATTTGCCTGCTCTGGGCGTTGTTGGTTAGTTTTTACCAGTAATAAGTATGACTTATGTCGCACATGAAATCAAAAACTATCGTAACTGAAAAATGGTGGTATTGCGAAGACACGATTTAAAAATTAAAAAAAAAATACTGAATTAATCTTTTGCGAATAATAGGACTTTTTTATTTGTACATAATATTTAGCTATCCTCTTATGAAGAAGAATATATATTTATTGGTTTGATTCGTAATTTTTGAAATTTCAAATCATGTTTTCTCAATTCCACCATTTTTGAGTTACGATAGTATTTGATTTCACTTGTGATATAAGTTCCTTCGACTCGACGACTGCTCGAATGTAATACATATTACGCAAAAAGTCCGTTTGTTGATATAATCACAAAAGTAAACAATGCTTTTTTCGAATTTAAGAGCCGTGTTTTTTCTCTCAATCAAACCCTTATTATTATTATTATTGTTCTTTGAAGATTAATACACTTTAATATTTTAATTTTCCTTTACACTTTTGCATTAGTTAATACAAAACATATTATTGGATTAGGCATATTAATTTTGTCAATTGCAAACAATCTGTATTAATTTTTAACATAAACTTGACGCTAATAACGTGATGTTTTTTGTTTGTTAGAGATACTTGACAGCCATATTTTGTTTGTCTAAATAAATTGAATTTATTCTGTATCGGTTACACGCAAGTTCTTAAATCACGCTGTATGTATAAGAATTATAAGTAAGAATAATAAATATGTGTTTTGGACTTATAAGTCGCCATGTTAAACAAATCACCACAATATTTCCTCAAAATGCCTGAGAAGATTAATTACTCCGCATACATGGCGATAAAGCCCCATTTTGATATGTTGGCGAGATTGGGGTACTGTAAAGTTATAAAGAAGGATTTGTCTCCTCTCAAAAGGAGGCTTCACAAATGCTATAGAATTGTAGTCTGGTTATTTGTCTTTGTTTACAATTTGCAGCACATCCTTCGCATTGTTCAGGTAAGAAAAGATATTTTAAATATTTCAAAACAAGTAAAACACAACTGTTACATTATTACCGCAATTCCCTCCCATCGTTGTCCTTGGTGGGATATCTGGAATACGCTGTGCTGAAGACATTAAGCAAATTAGACAGGAAAAAAAATATTAATATGATTTTAATTCCTATTTTATCATAACTTTAAACTTTACCTTTAACTACTAAACTTAATTAACTTGCTTTGGTTACTTTATAGGCAGTGGGACTTTCGGAAATAATTATTCCGGAAATAGGTCAGGGTGGATTTGTGCAATAATTTCTGTTAACATTTAAAAAGTCCGTTCTGGAAATTAATGGTTACTTTTTTGCCTCAGATGCGTCATAGCACCGAACAAGTGGTAAACACATTATTCATCCTACTGACGACTCTTAACACCTTAGCGAAGCACTTAACTTTCAACATAAAAAGTCAGCGCGTTGACAATATCATCGACGTGATAAATGGTTATTACACGTTTTTGTCACATTTACTTTAAAATCCATTAAAATACTTAGGGTCGTATTCTAGAACTGTACTCAATGCTCAAGTCAGGATTGCACTGGAAACACAAGCACTGGAAATACGACTCTAACAGCAGGGACTTGAGTATGCTTTTCAGTGTTCACTGCAATACTCAAGTCCTGACTTGAGCATTGAGTAGAGTTCTGGAATACGACCCTTAGACTCATGATGGGCGCCATATTAAGAAAATAACGCCCAACGTAGGATTTGTCGTTAACGTTTATTTTATGAACAACCTCAATTCACAGGACCTCTTTTTGCTCCAACCGAGATTTATCACGTGGAGAAGATGAAAGAAAATGCTTTAACTATGTTTAGGATACTGAAACTGTATCTCTCTGGAGTTGTGGTCTGTGCATTGTTGTGGGTAATATTTCCAGTTGTAAACAGGGCTATGGGTGAAGAAGTGCACTTTACTGGTTACATACCTTTTGATACTAGCCAATCACCTACGTAAGTTCCTTTAGATTACATTTACTTCTTACGGATAAGATTAACAGATAAGATTTTAAGTTACGTAACATGTACGAACATTTTTATTTTTGTCTCAATTTAGAGTACCCATATAACGCTAACTTTTTGTGTGCAGCTGTTGCCGGATTAGAGTCAGATCGGAATTTGAAAGAAAGAACATTAAATAAGTAGGAATTGACCCGACAGCTTTATTATTTTTTAAATTCTTTTTAGATTTGAACTCTGTGTTGCTTACATGAACGCAGTAGTTGGTTTCCAAGGACTGGGAAATGTAACTATGGACTGTACAATAGTAGCTTGTTACGCACAAGCAATGGTACAATTTCAGATATTGAAATATAATCTTGAGCTTAGAATAATAACGCATAGAATGATAGTTTCATATCAAACGAACTGTCACAAGTGAGGCAAAAACCAAATTCATGTGGGCGTAAGCAACTTGTAACTACGCTCGTCGGCACGCACACAAATATACAAATAATGATGCCATGGAATAACATTTCCCTCAAAAGTGGGGAAATTGTATCTTGCTTAACTCATCATTAAGTTAAAGGTGCCTACAGATTTGCCCGACATTGTCGATCAGGTGCCTACAGATGTGCTCGGTTTTGTCGATGAAAAACGAATATAGCACTTATTTCTACATCCAAGATGGCGGACACGAGTTTTGAAATAAATGCAATATGGGTATCATTTTCGAGGTACTTGGGGATGCTCATGACGAATATGGCACTCATTTCTACATCCAAGATGGCGGGCACGATTTTTCAAAAAAATGCAATATGGGTATCATTTTCGAGGTACTTGGGGGTGCTCATTACGAATATGGCACTCATTTCTAAATCCAAGATGGCGGGCACGATTTTTTCAAAAAAATGCAATATGGGTATCATTTTCGAGGTATTTGGGGATGCTCATTACGAATATGGCACTCATTTCTAAATCCAAGATGGCGGACACGAGTTTTCACATAAATGCAATATGGGTATCATTTTCGAGGTACTTGGGGGTGCTCATTACGAATGTGGCACTCATTTCTAAATCCAAGATGGCGGGCACGATTTTTTCAAAAAAATGCTATGTGGGTATCATTTTCGAGGTATTTGGGGATGCTCAATGTGAATATGGCACTATTTGTAAATCCAAGATGGCGGGCACGATTTTTCAAATAATGGCAAGTTGGGTATCGTTTTCGAGGTATTTGGGGGTGCTCATTACGAATATTGCTTTTGTTTGAACTGTCGTGTTTGCCATCTTGGATTTAGAAATGAGTGCCATATTTGTATTGAACATTCCCAAACATCTCGAAAACGATACCCAACTTGCCATTATTCGAAAAATCGCGCCCGCATCTTGGATTTAGAAATAAGTGCCATATTCGAAACCTAAAACCGAAAATGCCATAAGCAAACATTAAAGAAAATAACTGTTAAAATAGATTAAAAAATCGCTTAAGAATGCTCCCCTTTTAAGAAAATAAAATATTTTAATATAAAATATTTCGCTTGAGTTACGAAAAGAAAGACATATAATAAGCTATCAAAGTTGTACTGGTGGTGCCAACACTATAGTAGAAACAAATATATAAGTACTGTAAATTTGTTGCAATATGTGCTCCAATTCAAATAAAATTAAAATAAATAATTATTCAATAAAGCATGAACGCAGAGCCGTTAAAAGTATTATAAAATAATTAAGTGTCCCAATCACTTACAGGAGTTAACGAAAACATTTAATGTTTATTAAAGTAAATATTAGTTCAAGATGCGCAAATAAGTCTAAATTACAGGCACCACTAAAATTTACGTAATATAATTATTTTGATACAGAATAGCAAAATGGGGAGAAAAAAAATTCGTTACTTTGCAACACTTTCGTATCTTGTTGCCGCGAAATTATTTTTCTGTTTTAGTGAATATTTACATAAAAATATTAGTTGAAACGCATTACTTACTTGTGGAATGCGATGTTAGTGTCTATTTTATGTTTGTCTGTTGTATTTTTACACCCATTTACCGCACATTTCGTCATTTTTAGCAAAAAATTTTGGAGCTGTTCGCGGTGCAATATGACCTTGAGCACTAACAGCCCGCGCGCTCCTGGGACGCGTTTGGAACCCTCTAACTTGCCTCACTTAGCGTGTGCGGGCTAGGTTTCTATGCGTTATTATTCTAAGATCTTGAGCATTTAATTAAACCAAGTGATATTGAAGACAGCGCCTTGAACGGAAAAAGATTACTGTTTATAGATGAAAATATTGCTGTAAGGGAAAACATTAAAAGGCGTTTAATTCGTAACGTCTTGCATCAGCAGAAAATTAATTGGTACTCCCACTTTATTTTCACTTAGTAACTTTTTTTCGCTGCGCTTGCACTGTTACTATCACTATAGTGATGCGAAAGTACCACTATTCGCTAATAAATGTGGCATGCGCAAACCTTTCATTGATCAGAAAAGAGAGCACGGAGTAGGTACTCGTATGTAGTAGTATACTTACGTATTGACGTAATAGCGTGCAGCGAGTCTTCCCTTGTGATAGCACATCGTTAGCGAGAAGTCAAGCGAGGATGACTTTATGATGATTTGTAACCTATTCTTATTACAATCTACTTTGGTCGGGTTACTCGGACTCTAATTTATAAAATTGGCTATTTCCTTTAATTTGCTTGGTATTTAAGTTGGTAGGTTATTACAGTAGTTTTCGCTTTGAAAAAATTTAGCTAAGATAATAGGTTCTATTTACATTGACTCGGAATACTATGAAACGAAAGCTTCAATTTCGCCTCGTTGCGTTAGAAAGCGCGCGAATTAGCAAGAATGCCCAAGAATTTTCGTGACTGCGCTGCGTCTCCTAAGCGCCATTTTGTATGCGCGAGATTGCGAAATGGGCGAGTCCGGGTGGCCTCAGCACAAGACTTATTTTTATTTATGAATTATTATTCACATTCATGAATTAATTTGTTTAGGAAACATAGATGGCGGGACTTGAAACATAGGCACGTTGTTAACGCTTACGCTTAAATTGAAAAGCGTGCTTATGTGTTTATTTTAGAAAGCAATCTTTTTTAGTGCTTTTCGTTTAAATGCCCACCACTACTCACGAGCGAGCATGGGCGTGCTCGGGCGGCCCTCTTTCCACGGCGGCGGCGCGTTTTCAAGAAACGCGCGGTCACGGGCAGTGGAAAGCCGCCATGAGGCTGTAGTAGACTGTTATAGGTTTTCGGTTGTTTAGTAGAACTTTTACATGTCGAGGATTATTAGTAGAATTGCACATTATTTTTATTTCGCTTACTTGTGAAGCAGAAGATTTTTGAAGAGAAAAAGATGAAGAACAGAAAAGGGAAACGAAACTTTTTGGCCAATATGAAACATTTTGCAAAGATTTATGTATGTACGTACCTGTATCGTAGATGCTTGACGTTATTTTTTTATTTGATTCTGATATAATAATATATATATCGAGAATATTCCGGAAGATAAAGCGCGACCTGTTTTTCGTATCTAGTTTGTACGTTACTCAATGCTATGCACAATTTCGTTAAAAAAATTAGCTTTTAACCCTAACTAACTCACAGCAATGTAAATTGCGCCTTACTCTTACTACTAAAATTTGGGGTGAATTTCTGGAAACTTACCAGGTGATTATTCCGTTATGTGGAGATAAGATCCTTTTCATATTTAACAATTATATTTGTTTTCAGGTTTGTCAAAGAAATCGAGTATATATTTGTCCAGGCCATGTTGTTTCAGTTTTTTGTAGTGTCGTGGGTTATTTGTATGACAGTATACAAAATCGTTGGCGTAAGTAGTTTATTTTACCTAATTACTGAGACTAGTTTAAGGGTATTTTGTTCTAGTAGGTACGCTTCAGCATTACATACTAATTACATGACTAATTGCCCACCGGTACGATTCGTTGCAAAAATGCCTTAATATAATGTGTTTACATCCAAAAACACTGACCATATCTGACGAAGAACGGGTAACCGATCGGGACAATCCCTACTCAAGAACTCGTTTCCACTCACACAAGTGGAAACGAGTGACCTTACAATATGGTAAGTTCAAAATTTGGTAACCTGCTCTCAAAGGGATGGAGTGACGATCTGCGTTAGGCGCTGGCAGCAGATGGGTGCGACAAGCTGAGGACCGGGCGAAGCGGCGCCCATTGCGAGAGGCATACATCCAACACTGAAAACTGACTGTGATAGGATGATAATCCAAAAGCATAAATTAGAATGTGATAATTTTGATTGTTTTGTAATCTGAGATTTTGAAGTGTTTTTGAGATTTCGGATATCATATGCAAAATGGCGCTTTGACATCGAGTTGCCGACACCAGCCCCGTTAAATCATACTATGTTTTGTAACTTAACGGAATAATGGAATCCTTTGATGAAACTTCGGTATTTGAACGTCTGTACAAAACAACTGATTTTCAATTCTACTATAAATAAAAAAGAATTTACGTTACGTAAAGTAAAGTATCCAAAAATAGGCGGTTCTGCCTATTTAAAAAGTTTATAATTGTGTAATAATTAATTCAGAATCACATTTTGCCGGATAACTAATTAACTAATACAAATTTTGTAACATTCGTAGTTTTTTCAAGAAAAAACGTTTTAATCGAAGAGTCTAAATGTTTGGATTTATTAAAAAGAAATGTTTATGAAAGTCATTGCGGGACACATGGTTGTGAGTGAGCATTTTCTAAAGTTACTAGATGCTAAAGCGTGCAAACATGCCTCATGTATGTGTACATATTTTAATAAAATCACAAAAACAACAACGAGTACATATGTATATATGTAATTAAAATATTTGCTTTTGTTGTTATTAATGATTTTTCTTTTTTACAGCTCAGTTTGCTTTCAGCCGAATTCGTCTCTATGGCCATGTATTTATGTTGTATGTTAGCTCAGTTTTTCATTTATTGCTACTACGGAACTCAAGTGATGTATCAGGTATTACAGTTGTCAGTGGCGAAATTATTTGTCTTGAATTACCATTGAATTACCTATAAAATTATATTCTATTTTTCACTTTTTAAGTCTTTGAATGCCGTATTACTTACTTTTAATACACTTTAAGCTTTTAATAATAAAATAATGGTCTCTATTAAGCAAAATATCCTCTACAATATTTAAAATAAGCCTTAGTGTCTACAATCATTGTTGTTGTTGTTTTCAGAGTGAGTTCCTCAATCAGTCGATTTATTGCAGCAGTTGGTTATCCCTATCACCAAAGTTCCGAAAGCATATCCTAGTTATGATGGAGAACTGTAAGCAGCCTGTGATACCGCGCACTGCTTATATTCTCCCGATATCTTTGCAGTCTTACATAGCGGTAATGTCAAAACCAGGTCTCAAAAATCGTATTTGAATTATGAATTGTGTTTAAAAGTTGAATTCCATTTCCAATTGCCGTAAACGCGGAACTTATTTTGGACGTATGTTCTCAATTCCAATCATAATCATAAATAGCAACAATAATAATCATAATATTATGACGGAATACAAAAATATTTAGTTAAATATTTCTTCTAAATAAGTGAAGTTGAAGTTAGTACCTAATAATATAAACGTATAAAATTATAATATTCTGTTTTCAGGTATTGCGAGCGTCTTATACGCTTTTCACGTTTCTCGACCGCAAATAGATGAAAATCGCTGCGTTCGTTTCTACAAAGTTTCACAGTAATAAAATAATCATTCGAATAGTTTGCACACAATAAAATTATTCTCAAGGTATTGTCGGTTTTCCTGAGGGGCTTCGTCTGTGTAACAGTGATATGTGTAACGATACTGCGCACAGGAGAAAAATTGATAATTTGTACAGTACAATTATAAGTGTAATGAGTGAGGCGGCTGAAAGATGTTCTAGTAATAAGGCGGTTAGAGGTAAGCGTAATGTTGTTGGTTGGAATAAGCACGTGAAGCACTTACATGGAGAGGCCCGGCTGAGTTTCCAGAATTGGGTCATGCATGGCAAACCTTCCCGCGGCCCCGTTTATGAGCACATGTGTGCAACTAAAAAGACATTCAAAGCTCGACTTAAATGGTGCCAAGGGAATCAGGAACAGACCAAGATGGACATAATTGCATCACATCACAATAATAAGAATTTCCGCCAATTCTGGAAAGAGACTAACAAGCTCAGTCCTCGGTCGGGTCTTCCTGTGAATGTGAACGGGGTAGCCGAACCCAATAAAATCGCGGACTTGTTTATGGAACATTTTAAAGTTGAGCCTCCGGTGCGACCGTCGGCGGTGGAGGTGCTCGATGCTGGTGGCCGTCGTGTCATTACACCGATCGTGGACATAACGGTGACAGATGTCGCAGCTGTTATTAAAGGTATGTCGAGGTAAGTCCCCGGGACACGACGGTCTGAGTATTGAGTATTTCTAGCACGCGGGAGCCCATTTGCCGAGGGCAGGCAGTTTTGTATGAGTATGAGACATACGTATTTGTCTGCAAATCTTATGCGTACAGTGGTGGTTCCACTTGTGAAAAATAAAACGGGGGATGTGTCTGATATACGTAACTATAGGCCAATATCGTTAGCCACCATAACAGCTAAAATACTGGACTGCTTGCTTGATCGCATTTTAACGAAACACCTAGACTTGAATGACGCACAGTTCGGGTTCAGGCCCGGACTATCCACAGAGAGCGCAGTATTATGCCTCAAGCATACAGTTCAGTATTACACAAAAAGAAGGACACCCGTATATGCGTGTTTCCTCGACCTCTCAATGGCTTTCGACCGTGTCTCATATGACGTGCTATGGCAGAAGTTGCGCTGTGAGACGGATCTCCCGGATGAAGTCACTGGGTTGTTCCGCTACTGGTACGAAAATCAGACTAACAGTGTTAGATGGGCGGGAGTGCATTCAAAAGATTACAGGTTGAAATGTGGGGTGAGACAAGGGGGGGTTACATCGCCGAAGCTTTTCAAGCTGTATATTAATGCATTGATCGTGGAACTCAGCAGCGCCAAAGTGGGTTGCTCTATTGACGGTACTTTCATTAACAATATCAGTTACGCAGATGATATGGTGCTGTTGACTCCTGCGATCAGTGCACTTGGCAAGCTGCTTAGGATATGTGAGACGTATGCGGAAGCCCATGGACTCAGGTATAACACGAAAAAGACCGAGCTCCTAGTTTTTAAGCCGAAGGCAGGTTCTGTTGGAACTGTGCCGCCGGTGTTTCTCTATGGTAGTGAGATAAGTCGTGTCTCTCAATTTAAGTACCTGGGTCACTGGGTAACCGATAACTTGCATGACAGTGCCGACATGGAGAGGGAGAGAAGGGCCCTGTCTGTTAGATGTAATATGCTCGCCCGCAGGTTTGCTCGTTGCACCAAAGATGTAAAGATTTCATTATTTAAAGCATATTGCCAAAACTTTTACACAAGCAGCCTGTGGGTGAAGTATACGCAGAGAACCCTGAATACATTAAGGGTACAATATAACAACGCTTTTAGGATGCTGATGGGGCTGCCGCGACACTGTAGTGCATCCGGCATGTTCACGTAGGCGCACACAGATGGCTTTCATGCCATTATGCGCAAGAAGACTGCCTCACTTATGATGCGTGTACGCGGCAGCGCTAATAGCATCCTAACCATTGTTGCCAATACGCTGGACTGCCCCTACCAACTACATTGGGTGCAACTACACGTGCGTAGGGTAGTGGTCTAGTCTCACTTCTCACTAAAATTAAGTAATTTTGTATTGTACTAACCATAGCACGTAAGTAAAATTTACTGTATTACTAACATTATTATGGATCATGGTCCGAAATAAATAATTCTATTCTATTCTATTCTATTGTTTGATCTTTATTTATACGACTGTTCACAAAATTTTAAGTTGATGAAAAATTTCAAATTTCTGTTTTTCTTTTATTGAATATGGGGTGTAATTTAAAAATTATGTGTTTTTCTTTTATGACGTCAACCGACAACCGTAATTATTGTGTCACTGCAGCAACGGTGGTGGTGTCGTGTTATAAGTTATAACTCATAGTACGATACCAAGAGCTCTACTTTGACGTTAACTTATAGATACTACGACAGCACCGTCGAATAATAATATATAAACAATAATGAATGGAATAATGTTGAACATGTTCCATCCGTACAGCCTACTCCGTCAAAATCTAGTGTCGGTTATAGGTATCGAGAATTTTAACGTGGTAGAGTTTGTCTCGTAGATTACCTTCGACGGCATTGGTGATTAGTGTGGAATGATTGATGAAATAACGCCGTATTGTTGACCACATAGAGATTCAGCCTGAATTGAAGATTGGATGACGAGCAGTTTTCACCATTTTGCATTATCGTCTTAAAGTCATTAAGATTGCTTCTTGATGGATATCCCATTTTCTCACAAAAAAAAAACGAATACTACCTACTTTTAAAATTTTGGTTCAGTTATTTATCCGCCTAAAACCCAGCAAACTACTAAAAAGCGCTTAACGCCCAGTATCAAAATGTACTCGACATGCTTCAGACCCAAGCAAGCAGGTATGCCCATTTTTGTATGAAAAACGGAACCGGGTATTCTACTAGATACACCGCACTGAAGTAAATATGAATGCGATATTTTGGTTATAATGTAAATAAATACACTGGGCGTTTACGTGATCATATGAATATTGTTATGAATCACTTCATATGTACACATTTTAATGTACGAGTATACGGGGCCTTAGGAGGTATTTAAGCAACTGCCTTAGTGGCCGAACGGTTACCATGCCGGACTGCCACGCAGAGGTCCCAGGTTCAATTCCCGGGTTGGGAGAAATATTTGTATGGCCTACATTTACTTCTCTCGTGAGTTTGGGTGTAATTTGTGGTTGTGTATGTGTGTGTCCATGACACCCGCGACACAGGGTTTCCCTAGTGCCGGGCTATGTTGAATGTGTGCGTTATTATTATTATTTAAATGATATTTAAATGAACGTCGATGTGAAGAAATAATTAAAAAATGTATTTAACTTTATAATCAATTAAAGCACTTTCGGAAGTCTTATGTATATTATACCTACATTCGCTACCAGTCCTGGAACTGTTCTAAGGTCAGTCGTAAAATTGACCACACTGCTGAATTATTGCCACTATTTATTACAATTTTACATCTCGCTAATTCCGGAGTAATGTAACGTCGAACACAACGTCTATATGTACGGTATTTTTTCGAAATTATTTGCTGTTCGTTAATACTTAGAAGAGGATATCATCATAAATATGTACTACGAAGTATTATTCCTTTATTAACACGTAGCGGTGAACTGGAATAAACAACCAAAACAATCATTTCATAGATGTGAATCATGCTTTACGGGAGCAGAAACAAACAAACACTGAGGTCATCTAAAAATAAGCATTATCATATATAATTTCATTAAATGTAAGCAGTAGTATTCTTGTGTGAGCATGTGCTTCATTATTTTAAGTACCGTATAATGCTTAAAGTTTCGTTCCGGAGGCGACGGCAATTAGGCGTGTTGACTCACGCGGGCTCCGCCAGACAATCACGAAACCCGTGGTGCGGCTCTTCAGTGCTCCGTTCGACGTAAGTGCTGAAAGTCGTGTAAAAAGTTGTATCCGGCCACGAATAGCCAGCGAGAGCGCGTGGAATTCCGTTTATAAATACGCGACTGCGAACGGCGAGTTTTCCGGCTACGGCGACGTGTGGTGTGTGTAGCGACGCCGTGAGATTGCGCCGGCAGCGGAGCCCCTCGCTCCTGGCGGCTGCAGGGCTGCGCCAGCGGCTCGCAGCGGCGGCATGCGCGGGCGCCGATGATATTCACCGGCGGGGGGGCGCGCCGCCGCACCTCGCCCGCGCCACGGTCGCGTCCTGCCCCGCGATCATCCGCCCAGCCCTTCCAGCCCAACTACGTGAGTTACTTACTATATAACCAATAACAGAACGCTCGATTAAAATATTACGTACAGGACATACCTGATAATCGAACATACCTCTTTTCGAGTTAAGAAAATATTTTTATCGTTTAATCCCTAAATAATTTTGATTTCGGTCTGCCATATTTCTGAAGAAGGTATATGTATATTTACGCGGTGGGTCATTAATTCATTGATCATTACGTAAGCAAAGCAGATGTTTTAATTTTATGGCAACTAGAACGTTAAGTATACTTAAATTTATGATGGTTGGTAGTTATTACCTTGACGCTTAATTTAATTGGTTATCCCACTAATAACATATGAGATTGTCTATTCTATATAGTTTCTATTTTCTGAAAATAAATAGGAATGTAGTTTGATTAATATTACAATGAAATGATACAACAATAATAAAGATCACTGGTTATTTTTGTATATGGCTACGTAGATACCGAAAAGTTTCAATTTGGGGACATTCTGATGACGTCAGTGAATGATACCTGAGTGACGCACCGCAATCCACAGAGTTCCATCAACCGCTCATTGTGGCGTGGCGCAGGCACAGCCGTGGTGGTTCTCTATTTATATCCGTGCATTTACTCGCGATACGCTTCAACCTTGATGCTACAAACACAATTCCTTTTATACTACTCATTTCTTCCACATTCGTACATGATTTTAGATTTGAACAACTTTGTATTCCTAAGGTAACCATAGGTACTTTATTCATTTAGTTATTTGAAACGCTGCTGCCGGAAAAGGCATAAATGGGTTGGACTTTAACTGACAATTAAACAACAATTACAAATTTGAGTTGATCAATGGAAAATTGAGATTTGCAAAAATAAACATAATAATTCATGAACGTAACAAAGGAATGGAATTTTGGCGGAATGAAGATGTGAAAACGTGCTTTTACGCAACTGTTAAAAACCTACTTCAAATTATTACGAGCTCATAACGTAACGCTAATTAAAGCAAGGTTAAGAACAATTAGAAGGAAAATTCCTTAGCATCTTGTTTTTACAAATACACAGTGGATACCATAGCAGATATGCATGTCTATGTATAGGGTGTGTACGTTTGCTTTTAACTATACCAAATGGATGAATGGGCGAAAAATATCAATGGAATAACGTAGTTCACGTGGCGTCCGCTTCTACGAGTAAGATGTAATAAAATTATGAATATCGAATAATTCCTACCGTACGACATGAATAGACTTAATAATTCAAACTCGTAAATCGGACCTATGCCAGGGAATTCATAAAAAAGACCTTGGGCAGGCGTCGTTTTCTATGCAAATGCTGCTAGTATCTTCCCTTTAGCTGAATGGACACTACAGCGTGGCCGGCAACTGTATTTATTGGCTATGGATTCTTGTTTTGGTGACATGTGACTTGGCGATGAATCTCGGTACAGAGCCGACATTGAGGACGGCGGATGTCGACGTGGTTTTGGGTATGTTGCATTAATTTCTCTGCAGCTTTCATCTGCATACGAATAATCCCAATGAATTAATTTTGACGTTAATACTGACCGACAATAGTCTAGTTTCTCATAGAGAAGCGATATAAATATTAATACAGTTTCAACAATCCACAGTGCAGTAGTTCTTCCGGAAGTCACGTCTTAGCCCTAATGCGAGGCCACCACACTTTAAAAATGTAATAATACATTACTTTAATAATAAACCACTTGAACTCGTGATGCCAGTAATTCCAACTTAAAATTCTTATTACGATTGCAGATTTCGTCAAAATGCCTAGAGTATAAAACTTTAGCATGTACAGCAAAAGACTGTTTGAGTCATGTCCATAGCGTCTTCTCGTCTCAAACGTGACCGGATTGTTGGCAATCACTCAAGCTCAAGCCGCTCTAATCGCGCTGTCATTTGCAAAAACAAAACAAACAGTTGATAGTTCTAATGTTTATGTTTCAAAAGAAGCAAACTCGGAAAATTGTTTTGAATTGTCGAGAAAGATATCTTTAGCAAAAGAATTTAGATGTAAGTCTTGTTTCTATTACAAGATGTAGTAACGAGGTATTAAATTGAATAAATGATATGGAAAAGTTTAGACTTTACTACCTAATTAGTTAGGTTAGGTAGTATGCAAACTAATTTCCTATATAGACAAGTCATATGTATCTTACTTGACATTCGCATTACAACATGATTACAACCCTACCCCGATTTGTAGGCGTTAAAAATTGGAACACATATAATTTTAGTGAAGCACGGTTTGACCGTTACCAAATGAGATTTTGTGAGCTTGCCTATTAGCTCCGCAGCTGCGGCTACGTCTATGTCATATAAAATTTAAAATAAATAATAAAAAGTACATTATTTGCGTCTTCTTATTTGTAGTGTACTTATCATTAGTAGATGTAGGAAACAGTGACAATAGTTTGTTTATTTGCACTCAGCGTCTAGAAATCTGTTTGTACCGAAAAAATAGTAAATTATTAATAGATGTAGAGATGCAAACTGATGACTGATGACTTATGCTGCCGCTTTGTTATTTACTCAGATCGTATGTAAATTACTAATAATAATAAAGTAATAATATTAATTTGCCACACACTGTTTTTCTTTTGTCCAGATTTGGGTTAGTGCAACGTCAAAGCCTAGAGATTTGAAATATTGACAGTATGTACACTGTCATATTTACGTTGTAAATTGTAGATGAACATTACAAAAACAAATGACAGTGAATGTATGCGTCATTGTGAGTAGTTACTAACAAAGAATACTCCAGTAATATTGACGAATGTATTGTGGATTGGAGATGACGGCACAATGTTCGTGCTTTCAGTGGTTCCCGGGCACGGGTTGTAGTGAAGGCGAGGTGCGGCGCTCCCGAGGTAAACGAATCACGCAGCGACGATGTGCCATCAAGCATCATAAGTAAGTTTTTCATCCTACATACTTATTTTGCATCTTTGGTGTAGTAAGGCTACATTTACAAAATTACAACTTTTCAGGAGAGAGTTTTAAAGATTCTACGAACGAAATTACTCCATAACTTTTTATACTTAAAGAGGAAAGTTATAAAATTTCACATAGGTACACATAATTTGTTTCATGTAGTTCGTATTATTTTTATTAGTACTTTCATGTGATAAAAGCACTTTTGACACAAGTTTGATCACATGTGGCTTTATTACACCTAGGATAGATTTTATTTTATTCAAATAAACTATACGCCTTTTGCCCCAAAATAGGTCACACACTAGAAAGTAAACCCTCTAGAAAAACTATCAGTAATTGAACCGAAGACAGACAACTAAATTATAAGAGGTATGAAACTGCTTCTCAAACTGTACGTATAACATAATGAAATTAAGTATACTTTATGATTGTAGTTCGAACTTGAGTACTTGTTCATATTTGTAGGTAAACTATAATTTTATTTTAACAAAACAATTGGTGCAAAATAACGAGACCGTGGCTAACAGTTGACATAGTACAATTAAGCCGCTTGCAACAATGTGTCCTTCATATGGACACCTACGTATGGACACGTAGTTGGGGGACTTACAAAGCAATAAACAATGTATGTGTTTAGTAGAGATCTTATTTAATAACATGTAAGATTAATTTGTAGCTAGGCCAGGTCATTGGCACAGAGATATATTATTAATTGCTAACATGTGTTCGCACACAAAACAATCAGATCTGGAAAATACACAAATCTACGAGCGTACTTCTTTTTCTAAAAACATTCCTTTTATATTTCTTGTGGTCGGGGAAAAGAAGAAATTTTTTTTTACGCTAAATTAAGCACTTTCATTAAATATCATCACAACTAGAGTAAAATTTGAACGCCACTAATTAATATGGAGTAATAATTTTTGAAAGAAGAGTTCGTTCCACCATCATAGACGGACGGTGTTCTGCATATTGGTGTGAACCCACAAAATGACAGTTTCGAGATATTTTTAGTAGCAGTAGAGCTTCTTGTGAAAGAGTACGTCCAGGGAAGTACTGCTTGCTAGCTTACGTATTTCTGTTGCCAAACCGGTTTTAAATAGTAAGGGTGCTGGTGAAATTATAGGCGCATAGGACTTGTCATCGTGTGTCTCAGGACCCTCAGGGTGATGGTGATGGTGAGGGTGTGGACGCTATGGCAGTACCCCTCAGATCTTGCGATTTAAAGCTGTGAGTGGCACTACAACTGCTATGGACAAGCGTGTCGCTTACCAGCAGTCGCACGACTTGTTCGTTACGTCACTTGGTATCATAAAAAAAGTTGATTTTTGATAATCTAAACGCGTATATGAGGTCTTGGCCTGTAGTGGCGTTAAATCGCGAAGAGTGGAAAAAGGGAAGGGTGGCCTTTGCCCTGCAGTGGAACAGTAATGACTGAAAAAAAAAAAAGATAATCTATTATCATTACTCTTTTCAACTTCCTTCGCATCAGTCTCTTGATGTTCATGTTTATTCTTGGTACTTTTAACTTGGCTTTTTAAGCACATCCCAATGTGATCCAACATGTCCGTTGAGGTTTGCCCCATGTTTCCATCTAAATTCGCTATGTAAATTGTCAATCTCTTAACTAATATCCATCCCACTTACATGAACAAACCATCGAAAAATTCCCTTTTCTATCCTGGTCAATATATCATATTTCACACCACAACGCTCTCTTACTACTCTGTTCAACACTCTGTCTTTAAAGCTAACATTGCACATACTATGCAAAGTTCACATTTCTATATCATTCACCCAACTATTGTGTTTCTTCTATCACACGCATACTCATTAGGGTATGTCGGGGTTGGAGCCAGCACCCCTCGATGAATAGCTAAAGGCGCCTTTTTCAACACGTTCCGGCTACTCATAAAGGCATACAGAGATCCATTTACCTGATTTTCGACGATTACTCTCCGTTGTCGTTGTCCCTATCTACCGACACGAGATATAGGGTAGGGAGCCCGAAGTCTCCCCGGAAGACCACGGAACAGCGGGCGTCCGGACCAAGCTCTCCGCCAGTGATACGCCTTCACGGGAGTCTCTGGCGGACCTGGACTCGCCGGGGTTTGTGGTTAGCTGAACAAGTTTGTCTGCCCCGGTATCATGTGGTTCGTCCTGCGCGCAGCTAGCGCGTCTTAGTAGTGCCCGAGTCGAGGAGACGCGCGGGGCAAGTGAGTTGCTCTTTAAGTCGGTAGCTATGTCCGGACATTGTCGCAGGACACTGCTACCTGGCATTTCCGGCACTAGTCCGGAGAGCTGGTAGAGGATAAGCTACACATCCTCTGGTTCCTTCGGCCGCGTAGGAATTTGGGAACTGGAGAGACGCCGAATCGGGAAGTAAGCGTGCCTTCAGCTCCGGTACCAATCTAGAAATAAGGAGGGTGCTGTATGTGCACACGGGGCGGTTCACCTAAGGCACTAGCCTTCTGAGAACCAGATGAAGTCCGTACAAACGGGCTGATCTGGGGTTAAGACCTTTTTTTTTTTGACGGTGGGGAAATCTTTATGAATACCCCTGAACCCAGGGAAACTCAGGGGTTATGAGTTAGTTGGGCCCTGTGCGGGCTTGCTCGCACAGGTTATAGTGCACTTCCTGTATAACCAAGGGTTGATAGGGAGGGTTACTATAAACAAGACTTATGTAGAAAGAATGGGGTTGTTACTCTTCGTTCAATATTATCTTTACACTGCCCAGCTACGCAAATTCTTTCACTTCTTCTACCCTTAGGTTACTAATCCTTTTCACCCCTTTTCGACTTTCATCCCTTCAATCGCTATCTTTTCTTTTAGGTACGAACAACAATAGAACTACCCCGGGGGGTGTGCCGACGGCCAAATTCTTGTTTTAGCAGTAGATAAAAGTTACCTTATTCTAATCGTCCTATCTTCGGTATAAAAATCTAAGTTTCCAATTTGTCCACGTCATCAATAAAAATTAAAGTATTTTCATTTGTTAAAAAAGCTATAAAACATGTTTAGCGTATTTAAACTAGATGATTATAATAAACGTTTCAAACCACATTGAAAGGTATGTGTTTTGATTCGCATTGACGGTTTAACGATTTATTTTGTATAAAAAACATTTGATTAAATTTAACTAACTTCTGCTGTCCCGATTTAGCTCTCCGGCTTCTTGAATGGCTTTACCGTTCTAAAAATAAATCCAAGTGATTTATTTACTGTGGCAATTACATAATCGTAATGTGAATTAAAACTTAATTTAGAATCCAGTACAACCCCGAGATCCTTCACTTTTGATTGACGAAATAATGTTACATCATCAACAACATACGAATAGCTTACAGGAGTCTTATTCTTTGTAAAAGTAATTAGATGTCACTTCTCTATATTCAGTGGCATACTGTTGATGATACACCATTTATGCAGGCGGTCAATATTTGTTTGTAATAAACTGCAGTCAGCAGTACTGAAAATTTCGTGGTAGATCGTCGGCGTAAGCGATATAATTACAGGTAATGGATTCCAAAAGATCGTTAATAAATACCACTAAAAGTAGCGGTATCAAACTAGATCCTAGAGGAATTCCGGAAGTAGACACAAAAGGGACAGAATTATAGCCACATACCGCTACCAAATGAGTGCGATTTGCGAGGTATGACTTAAACCATCGCAGAAGGCAGCCATGAATTCCGAGATGGGGCAGTTTTTGACAGAGGATGCTATGATCTACCTTGTCAAATGCCTTCGAAAAGTCTGTGTACAACGAGTCCACCTCCCTCCGTCTATTAAAAGCCTTATTTATGAAATGTACATAAGTTAACAGATTTGTGGATGTGGAGCGTCCTTTGACAAAACCATGCTGTCTTTCATTGATAATGGGCTTAAAGTGGCAATAGAGATGTTTAACTATTAAACTTTCGATTATCTTGCTAAAACAACAAAGAATGCTCACAGGGCAATATTTTTTATATCTGACTTACTTCCTTATGTATTGGGACGATTTTTGTTATTTTCCAAAGTTTAGGAAAATATCCTGCCCTGCCTTTTATAAAATAGTACCACCAGTGGCCTTATCAATACAACAACACAGTTTTTTTACCAGTACAGCAGGTATACCATTTGCACCTGAGCCCTTTGTTATGTCTAATGCTGTTAAATCTCTATAGTTGATTTAACATCTAGTTCAGTAATATTAAAATTTGATAGACAGATGTTTGATTCTAGAAAACTTACATATTTACTAGTAGAGGGTTCGTTGTACACTGAAGAAAAGTGATTGGCAAAAAGGTTAGCAATGCCATTACCGTTATCTGCCGAATTGGAATCATAATGCATTTGTCGCGGCAAATCGTTTGTCGTTTTTTTTTGACTTCGCATATTTCCAAATATCTATCTGTCTTGAGATTTTCCTCTACACGACTCATGTAACCCTTAAAGCACTTATCATATACCAACTTGAGCCCTCAACATAGCGAACGTGTCATAATCACGTGGGTTCCCAAATTTTTTATATTTAGTGTGATACTTTTCTTTTTCATGAATATAGGTATATATAATAATAGGTAACATACTTTCGATATCAGTTTAAAGCTTTTGATATTTCTTATATTTATGGAATAATCGCCTGGGCACACTTAACGATTACACCCTGTATATGTACATTGGCTTAATCCTAAAAAATCAATTACCAAAAACAAAGTAAATCCATCCAGGATCGCAATAAACATGCATAATTAGTCGCTGTACGTAGCTATAAATAAAGTACAAGATTTTTGTTTGACAAGACTCTCGTTTAAATTGGAGTTGGTGGTGGATAGAAGATGTGGAAAGCTTAAGGGTTAACAGGTTCTAGTTGTCATAGTAACCCTTTTTTTTTAACAGTTTACGTGTGCTTCAAATCTAATAACACAACAAAATAATAACATTAATTCAACAGGTGCGTCATTTGAGTAGCAAAGTCAAAAGTCAGTAAGTTGGTTTGCTAATCATATCATTGATTATTGAGTGATAGTGAACTGATAGACATACATTTTTTTAATCTGCAGTACCTAACAAACTGGTTATTCCAATTTTACAAAACAGATGACATATATCCATGCATAACATAAACAAAGTTATTGACATATAAGTAGTAGTAGAGCTGGATTTTCTATATTTGTAATAGACGTACCACTGCGTACACCAAATGACCAGGTATGACCAGATGTAGTAGCAGTAGAGCTCCTTGTGAAAGATTTCGTTCAGGGAAGTACTACTACCTTACCTATTTCTGCCGCCAAGCAGCAATGTGAGCATTACTGCATTCCGGTTTCGAAGGGCTTGGGTGCTGGTGAAATAACAGGCACGTGGGACTTGTCACCTTATGTCTCAGAGTGACGGTACAGTACACCTTAGATCTTTGAGATTTAAAGCTCTGATTGGCACTGAAACTGTCACGGACAGGCGTGTCGTTTCCACCAGGTCCACGTCACTTGGTCTCATAAAAAAAGTTTTAACATAGGTTATCCAGAACTAATTCCTTCGTTTTTCTTTTCAGAGTACACGAAGTAAATGGTCACCGTTTCGTAGCCAAGTTCTTTCGTCAGCCCACGTTTTGTGCGTTCTGCAAAGAGTTCCTCTGGGGCTTTGGGAAACAAGGATACCGGTGCATAGTGTGCCAGACCGCTGTACACAAGAGATGCCACAATAAACTGTTAGGAAAATGTACGGGTTCGCCTGCGGAATCTGCATCAACTGTGGTAAGAGTTTTCTCGGTAGACCTTACGAGTCGATACTAACCTAAGCTCGGATTCATATTTTTCCCGTACTTATACGGTACATTTTGCTTGTGTCGAACGACAGGAACACTTTATTTTAGAAATTATTTTTTTTACAAAATTAAATTAATTTAGGAAATGAAACTATTTTTCCGGATTTAAATCGCGTATATTTGTTTTTTCAAACAAACCGACGTTTCGGGCCCTTTACAGGTCCCATGGTCACGGTTGACTGAGGTGGTACAGTCTTCAACCAGTTATGTCTAATATTAATGCAAACCACCAAACCACCCTATTTTTTCACTATAGTTACAATAGTTATTAATTAAATACCTTATTTTTAATTTTACAAAGAAAACATTCCAATTTACGCTACATTAAGTTTTACAAATTATTTTATTGAATGAATTTTTATTAAGTTTAATTTATTATTAATTATTAATAGAAATTAGAATAAACTAAAACATATTAATTAGTACTGCAGTCTTATGTCTGTTTGGGATTTTTCATTAGAGGAAATACTGGATCCCAAACTGGTGGTACGGAGAAACCATCTTCCCTGTTGAAATTAGGATGTTTTTTAATTTCAATGGCCTCTCGCAGCATCCTGGGTAGATAACGGACCTCTTTTGCAAAGACCTGGGGTTTGTCAAACTTCATTGAATGTGTAGGTTTATCCATGACATGCTCGCAGACTGCAGAAGTCTGCAGTCTGCGAGCATGTCATGGATAAACCTACAGAAGTCTGCAGTCTGCGTGGTTTGCATTCATATTAGACATAACTGGTTGAAGACTGTACCACCTCAGTCAACCGTGACCATGGGACCTGTAAAGGGCCCGAAACGTCGGTTTGTTTGAAAAAACAAATATACGCGATTTAAATCCGGAAAAATAGTTTCATTTCCTATGTGTAACAATCGCGAAAACCTAAGAACTTAAATTAATTTTGCGAAATTAAAGCCGTTTGAATAATGTATATCGTATACTATTTGTGTTCTATTTAGTTCAGTACGATACAAAAAAAAATCATTGGTATATGTAAAGTATCTATTTCCAAAGTGTATTAATTCAATATTTTCACTGTTCGCATAACAGTGAAAGTATTGAACCAACTAAAGTCATTTGATGTTGTATACTCTTAACAAAATCATATATTATCTTAGTAGTATCTATATAAAAGACAATAGGCTGTTGTAACCGCTGTGCTTTTCCGTAATTTGCAATATTCACGTCAAGAAGAACGTTGCAATAAAGCCTGCACTTCGGTTCTCTCTTGCATATCATAACACGCTTTACCTCCATTGTACCCGTACTTGGCGTATATGAGTTATTATTAGTGTTACAACAAATACTATATTCGGCCTCAGGATGAATATCGAAATTTGGCCAGGAGCGTGGGCGAATAGCCGTATGTTCGGGCAAACTATTCGGTCTGATACACGTACCTACAAAAATTGTCCTAAAAATAAAGTATTTATTAACTTTAGTTACCCATCATAAATAATTTTGTAGAATAAAACAAACAAGTGATTTCATTTTCAAGTATAAACTTATAAAATTTGAATTTATGACATTGTGATGGATTAATTTTTATTTCATTTCACTTGGATTAACTTAAAAAAGATCTCTTCTAGAGATAAGCTCCTTTGTATATGTCCTTTATAACTTGTTTCATGTATCTTTTCTTTGTGCAATAAAGAGTTATTATTATTATTATTAAAAAAATAATTTTATTTTGGTTGCAAATAAATAAGTACTTGTTAGCGTTTATTTAATCATGACGAAACGACATACATATTAAGTAAGTAGTTAACATTGGATTGCTATCTTTTTTTATCTCTTAGAAAAAATAACTTGGTTATGTTACATTTGCCTTGTTTTTGAGATAAATAAGCGAAAAATTGTACTTTCTTGAACTTATAATGTATGTTCAGCATTATTACTAGTAATATAATAATTTACTGTGTTTTTTCTTACTTCTTACTCTTGGTATTAGGTATTCGATATTCGGCCGAAAAAAAAACAGGCCGAATAAGCTGAATACCGAATATTAACTGAATATTCGTTGCAACTCTAGTTATACATTAAGCCTATATGAGTAATAATTGAAAAAAATGAAACTGGTTTTCTTATTACAGTATCTTCGAGAGCGGTTCAAAGTAGATGTACCACATCGCTTTCGGCCACATTCGTTCATGTCACCGACTTTTTGCGATCACTGTGGCGGACTACTCTACGGTTTTTTTAAGCAGGATCTCAAGTGCGAAGGTACATACATACACTTGTTACTAATGCTGATAATAAAATGTCATCTCTAATTTAGACGCTAAATAGAGCCACGCTATCTGAGGCACAGTAGAAAAAGCGTTAAATCTGGCTTCGTTGTATATAAAATTGCTTATATGCTGACAGAATAGCTTGCTCATCCCAAGTGACTAATAGCACTTTGTGATATTGTACGTGCTTAATGATAACGAGTAAGTTATTTGGGGCAACCCTCTAGACTGTCATATGCCATTTATAATTGGCATAAATGCACACTAATTTTAACGGCTGTGTGCTCCCTTATCCGCGATGTTACCTCTCGATGAAAGAAAAAACGCTCGTATGACTCATATTGAAAAAATTGTACGAGTTTTATTTAAACAACATTAAAATAGGTTCAGAGAATGTAAATCACATTTCCCAGTGGTGAAATACAATATTTATTTATTTTGTTGTATGTGGATTGATTTCAAAGGAAAAATACGTTGTTACCAGAAAATAGAAAAACTAAAAAGTAACTGTAAAATCACTATTTTTGCAATTGTAAAATCTACCCAAAGAATAATATCTGAAATTCAAATAATTTATTGTGTCTCAGATACTTTTTTATTTTTATAAAAAGTAACTAAATCTCAGAAATTTTTAGACATTCCTAAGTCTAATAGGATGTCAAAAGTATTGTTTTGGTAAAAAAATTTCAACTCGTAAGTCATAAATTCAAAAGTTACAATTAAAAAAACTTGCTGTAATCTGGCTGAAAATTGGAACGTGGAGTCTGTACGACTCCTTAATGAATATTTGTCTCGTGATTTTTAACGGGGCTGTCGTACAAGCGTTTTTTGTGTTTCTCGGGAAGAAATCTCTAATCACGACATTAATGCCAAAAAGCCAGAGCTTAGTAGAGGCGAAGCGCGGTGCTTGTGGAGCCATAATCCGAACTTAGGTAATACTCGTTTTTTTACAATTATCGTATCGTTTTTTAAACTTGCGTTGATGCGTCGTCATTCATTTTTGAGTTACTCCGTTCGGTACAATACTAATAAAAAATTATAAAGAGTTTTCTGTGTTTGTTAGTGTGCTTATTTTATTTTTAATTCTAAGATGTGCCTACCGAGCTAATGCAATGATATCTGCTGTTTCTATATCGCTCATTACACGTCGAACCGACCACATAATTGTAATTGAAGATTGCTATATATTTTTAAATTTTGCAGACGCATTATACTAATGTTAGAATACAAGTCATGTAGTGTTATATTAATAAGATAGTATGCTCGATTTTAATTGCAAGAAATTACAAAAACCGTCTCTCGGGCGAATCAAAATCATTCAAAATAAAATAATATATCTACCGTCGAACTCAGTTGTACAAAATCATGCAAAAAGTCGATTTTGAAGATCACTCATCGATTTTTCTATTGTGTGGTGTATTTAAACACTATGTCTGTTATTAATAAATCATTATCAATTTGTTTATCTTTTTTTTTTCATTTCATTTGCATATTTCACGATAAACTCACCAATTTAAACATTTTAAAATTTTGTGCCTTATTTAAATCTAAAAAAACAGTGATTAATTGCAATTGGAACTGAAACAGGCTCTTTATTTAAAGTCTTTAAAAAAGTGTTACCAGATGGTGTCATAGTCTATCATTTTACAGGCTGACTTGCATTGAACTGAAAACGCACATAAATCAATGATTTCCATTATTGCATGTGCAGCATGTGTCTGCAAAATATATAAAAAATCTGAATCTTAATTATTTAATATCCGGTTTGGTATGGAATGAGCAATATTTGTATATAATATATGTGTATATTTCTTTACTTGATTTGGTACGTACTGTCTCGAAATAATTATATTGTGTATATTTGTGCAAGAATAGTTCTTAAAAATTAACTTTAAATAACAATGTACTAAATTGAATAATATATTTGTCACTAATAAAATTTTTACAAATGGAGCATAGTAGTAGTATGAGCGTAGTAGAAGTAGAGTACTTTTTCTTTCAATTAGTCGCGTAATCAAAATAAAAATAATTATATTTTATATCATTATGTATAATTCTAGGTGTAGCGATGAATGCGTATGAATGTGGGTTTGGTACTAATGATAAGTGAGCAAGACAGACAAATTAATTTTACAGAATTTTATAGAAAGGCGTCAAGTACCAGTACTGTCAAATTTATAATTAGATTAAAGAGAATCAGAATTAAGATTATTAATATTTTAAAATAAGTGCTTCATACTCTCGTAGGGAGCGAAACACGTGTCGGGTATATTTTTGGTGGAGGTATTTATACACACATCAAAAGTGTCAAGGGATCAAGCACGTTTTTGTTGATTGCAGAAAATCTTGTTTTTAATGAATTTTGAACACCAATGGATTTTTTATCAATTCTATTTTCAAATTCAAATTATAAGATTGACCAAAAAATGCATCGGTGTTAAAAATGTTAATTAAAAACATGATTTTCAGTAATGTGCAAAAACGTGCCTGATTCCCAGACTCTTTTGATGTATTTGTTGCGCTTGTGTTATGTAGTTGTTTGATTAATTGTGTGCGGAGGGAATAGGAAAATTAACTGTATGCGAAATAATATTCAATACTAGCGCAGATATTTTGCGTGATTTAACCATCGCTGGGTTCGTGGAGTAGTAATTAATTTACTTCCATTTTTATTAACATGGATGTTCGTAAAGTTATGCCCGGGCCTATTAATTATTTAGAATAAGAACCTATAAAATTATTTTATTAATAAATTTACCTTTATTAAATTAATATATGGGCACAGACTATAAAAACAAAAGATGCAAATAGTTTTATAGAGATTATTGTAGGTCGCTACCATCGAGCATATTCTATGGTCGCTACACTGCGGAGGCGTATGTGTGGGTCTTTTACCTATTTGTAAATTTTACATTTACCTAAAGTTTAAGTTTTAATTTTGTAATCTAGTTATTTATCCATACGCTACATCTAAATATATTTATTTGATAATTCATAGTAAAAGTAACAGCTTCAAAAAAACAGGAATAAAAACATACAGCCAATTGGGTACAGGTTTCCAACCACGTTAGTTTTTTGAAATACTTTTCCATTAGAAAATGTATAAATTAGGTATCAATGGACAGCATCGTGAAAACGAAAGAATGAATTTTTACTACAGAATATTGTATTTCATTGTAGCTGACGTAGCCTGTCATCCTTAGACATAAGTTAACATGTCTCATGTTCTTGTAATGTCACCAGTACCCTTACCCTTCAAAACCTGAACGCAACAATGCCTACATTACTGTTTGGCGGCAGAAATAATAAATTCTCCTCACCATTTTTTGGTGGCGCTTGCGCGCTCTCACGTCCAGGTATGGTGGCAGTGCCTACCTGGACGAACTATTTCACTAGAAGCTCTACTGCTACAAAACTCTATTAAGATTCGACTGCTAGTGCACGTAGATTTTAGCAGAATAACGAATATTATAATAATTGCAATATAATCTCAGACGAATCTTTTGTGTAATTAAAATGACTAGAACTTTTAACAAAATTAGCAGATTTGGGGCTCTGATGTCATCGTTAGATTTAATGATAGGATCATTAAAAAAACAAAGTACGTAAGTAGTAACTATTTCACGGATTGTACATAGGGCGCACTATAAGTTTCCGAAATTGGCCACTTACATAAACAATATTTAAAAAGTTAATACAACATTTGTAACAAAATGGAACTTTTGGGTGTAGAATACAGTTTGTTTCATCTGTCACTTGTTTTTACATTTTGGCGTCATTTTAGAAATTGGTTGTCTACATCACCATGGATTTAACTCGTGAATATTTTCGTAGTATGATTTTCTACGACTTTAAAGTTAAGGTAAGTTTCTAAGTTTGAGCGGAGCTTCCCTCGGGATTTTGGCGATGAAGCACCATGCAAGACGACTATTTATAGCTGGTTTGCAGAATTCAAGCGGTCGTGTGAATCTCAGTGACGAATTTCGTGATGGTCGTCCGTCCACTGCTGTGAACAACAAAAACGTCGATGCTGTGCGCTGTATGATCAAAACAGACAGGCATGTGACATATCTTGAGATTCGGGCATCTTATAGGTATAGGCATGAGTCAAATACAATCAATACTACACAAACATTTGGGTGTGAAAAAGCTGTGCTCTCAGTGGATCCCACACAATTTGGCTGAGGCTCAAAAAACGGATCGCGTCACTTGGTGCAATGCCATGCTTATCAGATTCAACGAAGCGGCGTCAAATTTGGTGTGGGATAGCAACAGGTGATTTATAGTTTCGATCCCAAAACAAAGCAGCAATCGAGCGATTGCTTCTTTTTTTTAATAAAACTGGACACGTGGCTACTGTTGCTCTGGAGAATCGTTGTACCGTGAATAGTGATTGGTACACGACTATTTGTTTGCCGGAAGTTATTGACAAACTCCGTAAAAATAACCGTAAACGCCGTATCATCTTGCACCACGATAATGCCAGTTCTCACACGGCCAGACAGACAAATGAATTTTTGAAGGTGAACAACGTTGACCTTATGAGCCATCCCGCATACAGTCCCGATCTGGCACCTTGTGACTTTTATTATTAATAAGAATTATTAAAGAAAGATTATAAAAAAGGGATTTGATACGCTTGACCATGTCGTGCTGCTCCAGGCCATGGAGGAATGTGGAATCGCGTGGCCTACCAATACCTGGTTCCGAAATTACCTCTCCAGCAGAACCATCCGTACCGCTACAGACGGAACTGTGGGCGAACAATGTGAAGTCACGCTAGGGGTACCTACAGGATCAGTCTATGGCCCTATTGGGTACATAATGCTAGTAAACAGTATAGTCAACGTAATACAGCATTGTAAGGTGTATATGTATGCCGATGACATGTGTCTATTATACTCAGCGAAAAACCTAAACGAAGTTCGTAATAAAATACAAAATGATTTTGAGAATATCACAAAATGGGCACATGACAACGGCATAATCATGAATTAGAAACAACTAAGTGTTTGCATATACATTCTCCGTACAACAAAAGGGCCAAAAACTTAAATTATGACAACTTTACCGTTATTGAATACACCTAAGAATGCTTGCATGCTGTTAAGGCCGGCTGTAAATGCGAACCATTGAAGCAAGTCAAGCAATACAAGTATTGAGGATTATGGGTTGGTACAAATTTTAACTGGAAATTGCATGTTGAGGAACTCTGCAAAATTCTTGGGCCGTTTTAGGAAAGTTCTATCAGGTAAAGAATGTATTGAATAAGCGAACATTGCTGATAGTGTATTATGCGTTGGGAGATTCTTAAATAAATTATGGTGTGAATGTTTATGATCGTTCCTTCAATACTTACCTGGACAAAGTCAAGATCCTACAAACAAGGTTAATTAAATATTTAGTAAACAATAAAATAAAACGCGATTGTAAGGGTGATTATAATAAATTATATTATTTTCTTAAAATGCCGCCAGTCCACTTGAAATCGTAATACCAAATTGCATTAGATAATTATTGTAGTAATGAATTTAAAATACCCGTTTCCAATAAATATAAGAAAAAAAGGGTTCGTGAAAATAAGTTCGTACAACCTAAGGCTATGAATTAGTATGGTAGGAGGATAAATAAATATGTCGTACCTCGTATATATAATGATATGGGATTCTTAAGAAAAAGTCCTACAATTACTAAGCAACTTATAAAAGTTAAAATAAAAAAAGGCGCTATTGAATGAAATTCTGATTTGAGAACTTGCATATCTTATATATTATTGTAATTGTTATTGTTGTTTTGTTAAATAAGTAAGTTTGACCTGTATGAGAAGTACCTTCTCACTGCTAGGTACCTATTTAATCATTAAGTATAACTTTAATTGTGTAAGAGCGTGCTTGCCAACAAAGTGTTTCCAGATTGGCGGGAGATAGATTTGTGTAAAATGTATACTTTTGAAAAATAAATAAATAAAAAAAAATATTTCCAAAAATTAAAAACCAGTTACGCGGTCAACGATTTTCATCACCAGAAGAGGCTGTCGAAGAGTTTGAAAAATATGTTTCAGGGATTGTCACAGAGGAGTGGCATAAATGTTTTCAAAATTGGTTCATTCGTATGAAAAGTGCATTAACGCTAACGGAGAATATTTTGAGAAACAATAAATTCATTTCTGACCAATTATACTATTTTTTACTTATTCGTTCCGGAAACTTATAGTGCGCCCCACGTATGTATAGTATCCAACCCATTTACGTGTCACTGCTAAGCACTTTAGTTATTCTCTATACGTTTCCGACTTGTAGATTTCGAGAGTGGTACTGGTCGTCAAAGTGGGTTTTTCTATAAATTGCTATTTTAGGTGTGAAATAGTGTTTAATGAAACTCCTGAAGCAATCAAGCAAATATCGTCAAGTTAGTTATTCAACAATGTCAAATGAATGATAGAAATCACTTAAATATGAAATCGAATTTTCGGCGATCAATAATGTAATGTAGATTACTATTTTGATTTTATAACTAGTGTTCTAGTGCACATATTATTTTAAAATATAATAAAATTTATAACAAATGCAACATAACTTTGAAGCTTGGATTTAAGAAACGGTAATGTAATCTAACAGTACCATTCAACTTTTCCGCATTTTTAGCAAATATTAAAGGATGCTTTTCCTTTTTAACCGACTTCAAAAAAAGGAGAAGGTTTTCACTTCGACTAAATGTATATGTATGTATGTATGTATGTTTTTTTGTATGTATGTTACGTGATAACTCATTTGTGAACCGATTTTGATGATTCTTTTTTGTTGGAAAGAGGGTACATCAGAAGTGGTTCCATTTAAATTTGAAGAAAATATTCCACCTCTATGGATGGCAAACTAGGTGATGAATGACTTTTCAGGCCAATTTTTTTTGTAAATTATTATGCTATTTGTTTTCAGGGACCATTAAGCACTTAGTAGTCGCCTTACTATAGTATTATTTTGTACCTAAGTGTCAGTTCTCAGTTCTACCAAATTCCCAAATATTTTTACCTATTTAAAATTTTTGATACGTTGTTACGTAACAAAAATTACAGTGATAATACAGAACAGTAAGTATATCAGAATAAATTGCTACGATTCCAATTAAATTGCTACCAAGGGAATTCCACTAGGCAAGAGTCGGGTAGAAAAAATCTTCAGTGTATTAAATACATGTACTACATATTGAATATTAATAACGTTTACATACTTATAACGCTTTTATAGAAAAACACAGGAAAGTATAATTACACTATGTAAGAAGGTAATTAAGGTAATTAAGGTACAGGGGAGAAAAGACTAGTTGGAGTTCACAAGTATTCTCTGAAGGGACAACAATCAAAACTCTCTTTATACTTCACACGACTTCCACAACTTCGGTTCTATCTTTATTTTTTTATAATATCAAGTGACGGAACGAACAAGTCGTGCGCGTGATGGTAAGCTACACGCCTGTCCATAACAGTTACAGTGCCATTCAGAGCTTTAAATTGCAAAGATCTGAGGGGCACTACCACTGCGCCCGCCACCCTGAGACATAAGTTGACAAGTCCCATGTGCATGTAATTTCACCGGCGCCCTTACCTTTCAAAACTGGAACACAGTAATGCTGACATTACTGCATGGCGGCAGAAATAGGTAACGTGGCAGTACTACCCTGGACGAACTCTTTCACAAGGAGCTCTACTGCTACTAAATCTGGTCATACCTGGTCATTTGGTGTACGCAGTGGTACGTCTATTACAAATATAGGAAATCCATAATCTTCTTAGAGCCGTGATAGCCTAATCGTTTCACCGCCTCGCAAGCAGTTCGAATTCGGGCTCGCACCTCTGAATTTTTTGGAATATATGTGCGAAATTTAATTTGAATTTTATCATGAGCTTTTCGGTGAAGAAAAACATCGTGATGAAACCTGCACGTCGAAGAAGGTTCACAACCCTCGGACAATGTGTAAAGTCCCCAACCCGTGCCTAGCAGTGCAGTGGGAAGTATAAATGGGTTGATGATGATGATGATAATCTTCTCTATAAAGTTAACTTAGACTTAATATTCTACACCATCCATTCCGTTGTCATTTGTTACAATTATTGTTACAGTTAAAAATTCAATTCAAAATAACCTACGCCAGAGTCGTAGTAACAATACTTCCTGCTGACGATGAAAAAACCGCGTCGTGATGAAACCTGCATGTCGGTTAGAAGAAGAAGGTTCTCAATACTTGGGAAAAATGTGAAGTCCCCAACCCTCATTGGGAAAGCGTTGATTATGGCCTAAACATCGTCTCATATGAGACGAAACAGTTGTAGAACGCAGGATAATGGGTTGTTGGTGAAGATAGTGATGAACTGACCTCATAGTTGTTAGTTATAACGTTCGTAGCTCGTAGCGTATGTCGTAGCTGCAAAAGTCTACGACCACTTATACATTAATTTCTAACACATGTATATAATCAATTTATTTCTATTTACACAGACCTTTTTAGCACAAGAAACAACACAAACGACGTCTTTGGATTACCGAAATAAATATTTTAACTTCACAGAAAAATAAATAATTATTGTTCTTGATTTTTGGGTTTTCTTTTAAATTTCAATTTTTTGTTTCGTTTGAGAATGAAATTATTGAAATTTACTTACGGAAATTATTAAACTGTGTTTAGGAATTGGTTAGCTAGCTTAAATAGATATTTAAATAGTAGATATATCAGTGGCTATTTTAACATGAACATAAAAATAGAAGCAAATGTCGACCGCAATTGTGTATAAATAGATGGTATTTGGAAATTAGATCAACGTCTGTGTACTCAGACTTTAAAGTTAAAACTTTTTCGGTAATTTAATTGTCAAGAACTTTATTAATGCTTTGCGTACTATTTTAAATTATAAATTAAATTATTTAGTATTTAGTGGTGTATTTAGAGCGTAGAACTCGCTATAAGCTGAGATTGTTATTCGTAAAAAAATATTGTAATCATGACGTCGTCTTGGTATTGTCGCGGTTATTATTAGCTGGTGTCTGCAAAATTATCATCAATCAATCACCTGGTGGGCAAGGCGGGTTAGGCGGGCGGTGCGGGTGACGGTGGGCGGGAACCGCGTACGCTGTGCGTCCGCGCATCGCAGCTACCGCCAGTTCGCGCCGCGCCGTCCCGATCTCGGCTGCCAAGCGCGTCGCGCCGGAATCATGCCTCTGTTCTCAGAGCATATCGCTAACATATATTATGGTGGTTCCCCGTCATACAGTGCACCTTATAGTAGTTACTCCAGTTCAGTGTCACCCCTTGGATCTTCATACAGTGCATCGTACCTCAACCCCGGTGGAAACTACAGTACTCACTCTTCTCTAGGTGGATACTCGCGGCCTCCGCTCTCCGGAAGATGGGTAACCAGCAGTGGTCGAAATTATGCACCCTTACTCAGCACCATTTCCGAAAGGGGCACAGCCAGTCCTGTAAGAATAGGTAGCCCGCGAAGAATACCAATTACAAGTAGATCATACCCGACTCCTAGTTACACGCCGCGGCCTATCAATATCAACACTGCTGATATTGACGTGTCCAAAGATAGATACAGAAATAAAATTGAGAGCGAAACCCCTCCCGCTCCATCCATGGAACCGTCGCTTTCTATAAATGATAACGGACCGTTTATGCCACGAGTGGATGGTAAACCAGAAACTGGCATTGATTCCTCACCGGGTTTGCAACGAAGTACAATAAAACGTGGTCGAACGGTAGTAAGGCTTCATACTCTAAAGAGGAAGGAAAGGGAATCACCTCGAAAGCCACAAGGTGAATCAACTCAAGAAGAAAATGTTACTAATATCAATGACACAGATGCAGTGTCTAAAGACGACATACTCCAAGATGAGGAAGAGCCTTGGCGATGGAGAGATAAACTTTCAGATGATCTAATTTATAAAGATAAAAGGGAAAAGAAATCCCTAGGTGACAAACTAAAAGAAAAATTTATACTTAAAGACAGAAACGAAGACTCCACATCAGCCGTTGATAAAAACAAATCAAAACAAGATAATTTAAATGATTTACCTGTGTCTTCATTACCCGTTACCTATCCAACTCTAAACCGTTCGCCAGATAGGCGGTGCTCTATAGAAATGCTGGCTGAGCAAGCAAACTTATTAGATTCATTAATAAGGGGTGAGAATCTTAGTACAGCTACTTTAGATTTAACTAAAGTTGGTTTATCTGATGAGGACAAAAGTAATTTCGAGCGACAACCGTCGGTTAAAAGAAGAAAGTCGAGCAGTGCGGATAACCCATTGCAGACAACGAAGTCTGACCATTCATTGCACGAGACTATGAAATCATTCAAAGATCATAAAGAGCCAAAACAGTTCTCAAAAAGACGAAGTTTAAAGAAATCTTCTTCGGGTAGTAGTATTTGTCGGTTAGATTCTATTACAGAATTTCCGAGGGAACTATCGGCTATCGAAGAAAGTAGACTATCGATAAAACGTGACAGTGAAAAAGCTAAATCAAATCCTAAAATAAAGGCGATTATCACATCTACATCGGTGGAGGTATCAGAGTCAAAAAATCCGTTAAAATTTAAAGTCGAAGACGTAACCGTAGAAGAGAAGCCGAGGACGCCCAAAAAAGAGATATCTTTTACTGCAATTGTAGAAGAACCACCAGTGCCGAATGAAGCGGGTGCTGAAATAGAAAATAATAAAAACATATCTGAATCTTTGTCAGATACAAGGCAAGACAGTGACGTCGTTTCTTCGGAACCCGACGAAGGAAACTTTTGGGACAAAATAGGTAAAAGAGAAACTGTTTATTTGCGTAATAGGCGGCAATTATTAGAAGATTCTAAACAAAAGAACAGACGAGCTTTCTTGTGGTTTCCTGAAGAAGACGAATATGGACGCACCGACGAAGTAGACACTAGCAACAAAGACGAGAATAATATAGTGTCTAGAGGAAAACCTATAAGTAACGATGAAATAAAAGACAACCCTCTTACTAAAGTAGAACTCATACCTAAATTAGAAATGAATGATTTTGCACAAAAAAATAGTGACCTTAAAAAGCTTGAGTCAGAAAAAGATGAATTGATTTCTCCTGTTTCAGATACAATCAAAATACAAGAAAAGCTGATGTATAACAAGACAAATGACATAACAAGTGAATTCGAGAATAATTCACCTAAACAACCTCTTCTTAGTTCTTATGTCAATACAGCAGGAAAAAACATTGTTCAAATAAAGGAGACGCACAAAGAAACCGAAATTAAATCTAAAATAAAAGATTTATCTAAAGCACTTGAAACTGAACCAAACACACAAGAAAACGTTGTTAAGCCAACAGATGCAGAGAACAGTAAAATAGAATCTAAAGATATTCACGACGGAACTAAACATAAAATACAAGAAAATATTAAACCAACAAATATAATCCAAAACAAGATAGAGTCAAAAGATGTTCATGAAGTTCATGAAGAAATTAAACCTAAAACTCAAGAGAATATTACTAAACCAATAGATTTCATCAAAGACAAGACAGAGTCTAAAGATGTTTATCATGGAATGAACCCCAAAATACAAGAGAACGTTACTAAACTTGCTATCAAAGACAAAACAGAATCTAAAAATCATGATAGTCAAGATAAAAAAGAAAGTAAAGAAAAAACTGAGAAAGTAATATCTAAGCACGTTTCACTTGAAAAAAAATCCAGTGACAAGATTAAAGAAAAACCTACAGCAGTAAAAAATAACAAGGTTGAAGACAGAAATAATGTTAAGGCTGGAAGTGGTGAAAAGAAAATAGTCAATGATGACAAAACAAGTAAAGTTGTTTCATCTAAAGGAACAATACTAGAAAAGTGCATATTAGAGGATGTTTGTAAGGAATGTGGCAAAATTGTGGATCCAGTAAGTTTGTCAAATGAAAAGATATCAGAGTCAGAAAATAAAGTTAAAATACCTTCGTCAAAACAGCCACGAACAAACAGTGATAAAATTAAAATAACTTCAAATATACCATTTTCTGGATATAACAAAAAATCTATTATAAAAAAACAGCGAACTAATGTTGAAGAAGAACCATCTATATCAAAAGAAGATATCTTTACTGACAATAAAACAACATCTGAAGAAAGAAAGGAAGTAAATCAAGATAAAGTAGAAGACAGTAAATATTCTATAGAAGAAGTCAACAAAGAAACAGCACCTAGCATACCAATAATCGTACAATCAGAAAACATTCCAATACCAAACAATGACGTTAAAACTGAACCTGTACAGGAACAGAAACCAGAAGGAGAGGATAAAAAGGCTGAAAATGTTTCACAAAAGGCGCAGAGCAAAGATATAATTGAACAACCATCGCCAGTTTCAATTGTGAAATTACCATCTCCAAGGCGACCTGTTAAGAACGAGCCTGCTTTACGCCCACTCATAGCGACTCCGCGTCCGCTTTTAAAGAGGACCCCTCAGGTGATACATTCATCAAGTTCTTCAGATTCATCTTCTGAAGAAGAAGACTCTTCGGATGATGATGACGCGGATGAGTCTGACGCTAGTGAAGACTCTGCAGAATTCTTCGAATGTGAAAATAATACTGACGGGAGGACTTCAACGGGATCCAACGACTCCGGATTCGACTCTTCTGCTCCGACGTCGCCCTTGAATTTCTCAAGCATAAAGAAAGGTAAAGCCACTACCATTCACAACTGCAAGTTAGGGATAGGAAACACAACAAACAATCATACTAACAATGTTCGTCCCTTTTACTGATCTAACTCCACTAATCTGTACAGCAATTTTCACGTATGCACGACGCTTTTGCACGGCTTAAGGCGAAAAATGTAAAACGTACAGACGTTCATTCACAGGAATGTGATAAAAATTTCAACGGTGCGATACGCCGTTGCTTTGTTTTAGACTGCGATGTGAACTGCCACCGAAAATGTGAAAAATTGACAGCGAACCTGTGCGGAGTGAACCAACGTCTTCTAGTGGAAGCTTTGGCATCTAGAACATCTTCTAAAGAGAAAGGTAGGTATATGCCAAGCTCGAATATTTTTTTCTGGGCAGGCTATTGATTTCATTTCTAACTATCATGTGAGATAAAGATCAGGAACAGACGTCACGACTACGTCATTTGCCGTGCTCGAAATAATGCTATCTTTTATTGGTTCTGGTTCGTAATGATTATTATTAGGTCGAGATTACAAATAAAGAAAAGAATGTGGAAATCCGAAAGTCCATATAATCTGTCGACCAGGCATTGAAAAAGTTACGTAATAAAACAAAGCCCTAGCGAAATTGAGCAAAATTTCTAGGGTATAATTGGTTATAGGGTATTTATTACACTCGTAGCCTGAGCTTGAGAGACAGTTTGGAACAATGCTATGGTTTGAATAATAAATTGCAATCATTTGAAATTATGCGTATTGTTTGTATGTATTCTCAAGAAAACCGGGTAGTGGGCGGGCGACGTGGGGTTGGACATGGGCCAATCGCTCTGCGCTCACCTGTATAGAATTAATAGCACCAATTGCTGCCGAAATTAACATAAAGAGATATGTGACATCAACGTGTAAGAATAGCGAATGTGTGTATATATATAATAGAAGTTGTAGAAGGTGTTCCAGCACTAATAGTGTACTACGAATAGGATTGGCAAGCCTGAATTTGATATGAAAGCGTTTACAACATTATGGTACATACTGCCAAGGTGTTGATATTGACACAGGTTACTAATTCCTCGGTAAACTCTTAATATTTTTCATTTGTAGACAGCTAGTACCGCTAGTTACAAAATATAATGAGAGCGCATCGACGTTAGGTCACCTACAAAGATTTGGTCTCATTTTAGTGTTTTACGTCAAAAACGTGTCATAGTGCAAAAATACATATAAAAATCCACATCTATAAAAGCACTTTGGACATACATAAGGAAGTGACGCATCGTCAGTCACATGTTTTTTTTCCAAATGCAGCGTTCTTATTTACGACGGATCAATCATCGACATCACCTCTGGGTCCGCTGCCAGGTTCGTGACAGTCACTACAGGATTGTAGATTATTTGGCTACATTTCAATCGCACATGTATTTTTTTTGCTGTCCTTAGTTGGGTATTTTTGCCTTTATTTTATGCTTCGTCTTTAATAGATTTTACTGCTGTAGTTCGACGGACTTTATGGCTTTGAGAAACATTCGGACTATACAAATTTGTGGATTGGTACAGTTCTGGAAAAATACGAGTTGTGGATATTAAATAGAATGCAGGTAATTTTTCAAGCTCTAAGTAGTAGAAGAAAAAGTACGAGCTGCAAATTCACAATACACAGACAAAATAATAACAAGCCAAAGCATGTCTAATTATAAATAACCTCCCACTGTTACTTTACATTATCTTCACTCTTATATCTTTTTTTTTCTCATCATAGGGGCTATTTTTGTTCCAAATGCTTTTATGTCACGCGTTCCTTAGATATTGCGACAAAGTATTAAAGGTCCAATAATTACATAACTGAATAAGAAGTCACTTAGGTTATTACTATATAATAATTATAAGTAGATAAGTATATAAGTTACACAAATATACAGAATGTCCCGCGGTGCAAAACGTATCGAAAATACTTTAAAATTTAATATTTATTTTAACATTTAATATTGTTGATGGTATTTTTGCTTGATTTGACATTATTTTGTTTATAAAAGTAAGTTAAACTGCATTTAAAGATTAAAAAAAAAAATCCTACCTCAAGTGGAAATCGAACCGAAAAAATGAAAAAAAAAAAAACATTATTTTTATGATGGTGATCGAAAGTGTCAATCATAAAAATTAAATCTTTTTAAATAGGTAACATAGTAATATATACGTAAGAAAAGTTGGAACAAATTTTATTTAACACACAAGAACGAGCAAAAAATGTACCGAATAGTCAAAAGATTACTATAGATTACTTTTGAAAAGAGCAGATTACGGTATAATCTCTATTCAGGTGGTGACGCAGCGGGGCCATCGACTGGCACTCCTGTGCAAAACGCTCACGCCGACATCATAGAACAAGAACTTGGTGAGATAATGTCATTCCTGTATTGTACTTTAAACACTTTTTCCTTTCTTGTAGTGTACTTTTGAATCGCTTTAAAGCCGTTTAGTACCCTATTTGTCTACTTTACATTAACACCCCTCTTTTTCGTCCGCAATTTTAATTTCTGTTAGAATAATTTTTAATGCCTTATGTGAATCATTTGTGATGTAATTAGCTTCGTTTGCAGCACTAACATACACACGTCTCCCATGTTGTTTATAGGTTTACTTTATTGCCTCAATCATACTTTCGATTTAGGTCTTATCACCATATTTTATACTTTCTTAAATGCCTAAATATTATTTGACATTAAAACAAAAGGTGTGGTTACTTTTCTGGAATAAACAAACCACTAAATATTTTCTATTTCTAGTGCGTAATCATAATAAAGTTATGCGTTCAGACATTAGAAGCTTCATGCTTTCGAAAGGATAAAAATATCGATGTACAATTGCAGAGAGCTCGTGAATTATCGTTCTATTTCGCACGACGCCTTTTCCGCGTTCCCTAAATGATATTAAACCATTCCAATTTCATATATTTTGTTCTAGTTCACAAACAAAAAGGAAGCACAGTTAGACGCTGAAAACAGATGAAAGTTCGAAATGTTATGTTGTTGCAGTTGCGCTCTAATTCGCGAGGTTGTTTTCCGCATTCCTGATACCGACGAGTTTATTCTACACAATTATTTCGAAACTGAATTGATTATGATTTTACGAGTATAGTACGTGTAAGGTCGGACTTTGAACAACGAGAATTTATTACGTAGATATGTTAGCTACATAGCTGTGTATCCATTTAATTATTGTACTATGGTAATCTCTTATTATAACGTTATGGGTATTTATTAGAAACGGTGACGCGACACAATCTGAAAAAGAAGATAAGTCCAAAGTAGGTGTAAAATGACCAATACATGTTTACCCAGAAATATATATATATATCCTACTCGTTTAATATACGAGGCACGTCCAGAAAGAGATTTTTTTTCAATAGTTGGCAACACTGAGTGGTAGTGGGAATTTCTCTGAACACAATGGGCTCCGGCGAACCTCGTTCGCACCGAAACTCGGCTCGTAGTGTCCGTTTCTGTGAAATATGTCAATAAGAAATCCCGCCAAATGCAAGGTGCTCGCTGTCGTAAGGTCCTTCTCGCGAGTTCCTTGAGCGATTTGAATTGGAAGGTGAGGATTTCCTGAGCTCCATTATGACTGGTGATGAAACTTGGGTGGCTCATTACACCTCTGAGACAAAAAGACAACCCTGACACTGGCGGCACACTGGTTCCCCATCTGCCAAAATCACTGAACATAGTATTAGTATACTCGTTGGGTAAAATATTCAGAACCTCTATTTGGGGCAAAAAATCATGGTGTCCGTGTTTTGGGACCTACAAGGGATCATTATGGTCGAATCTTTCTGGACATGGCCCGTATACCATATACTATGGGATGTTTCATACCCATAACCTCAACTTGTTACGAATAAACACGTATCAATATCAAGAAATTAAAAAGCAAAGCATTAACCAGTTGTCAGTGAAAGGAGACGTTGATCTTCCGAAGGTTTTCGGAAATTTTGTCAAAAGCTAGAAAGCTTTAATAATAAGTAGGATTAACTATCCTTACGTAAATGCGGTCCTGTATTTTTGTCGTTGAAGTGTTTAAAAAATAATGTTTTTCGGTGTCTATCTCATTAATTTGTTCGCAATCAATCAATTAGATAAATGTATTTTGTTTTTCAACTGTTCCCCATCTGCAGTTACTAGGTATTTCTATAAATTCGAATACTAACAGTTCATTGACCTCATATAAAAAGCCTGTTACATAATGTTATAATATTTTATAGTTTCAAAGTTAAACTTGTACATTGTGTATAAAACTATATAAACACGTGTCATTATTAAAACTATTAAATGTAAGCACGTGACCGAAACACGAAATTACGTACAATTCGATGCCAAATAAATTAATTACAATGATTTATTTATATAGGCAACCGATGGCGCACTAAAATAATTTACTGCACAATTTACTAATGCAATATCGTTGTAGAGAAATATTAGTTCGCGAAACGATGAAACTAAACAGGCCTACTGAGCGTCTGCGATTTGTTAGCGTAAATAATAGTTATGACGTGAGGCTTAGATCTTTATAAATTGGTAATCTATGAATTTTTACCGTATTATGTATTATGTCATAATTGTGAATAAAATGTAAGACAATGGGATCAACTGCAAATATATGCTGAATGTTAGTGCTACAGGGAGTTTGTAATAGGTATTTTAAAACATTGTCTTTAGGTATTTTATGCTCCCGTACTTATTCCCGAGCGTCATAAAACGAATGTCGTGCACTGTTTATAATATCTGTATTATAAACACACGATAGAAAATTGAGTAAAGCAATAATTTTAAACTCGGGTAAATAAATTATTACACCCACTTAAATGTGAAAGCAAAGAAAAACACTTTACAGGGGAAACCAACCTTTTTTCCTAGAAATTAAATATTTTGTTTGCTAAAGTTCTTTGTTGTTTCGAGTACAATTACTACTAGAATGATTCTTTTGTAACGGAATGTAATGAGTAGTTTACTGTAATTTTAACTTTATGCCAATTTTTACAAATTTTTTATCGGACTGTTAAGGAAGTGACAGTGCGTATTTCTGCCGAAACTTGTGGCTCCGAAATAATCACCTACGGCCTTGATATTGGTCTCAGCTAATATTTTTAGCGCGATCCCGCCCGAGTTGAAAGAGAATTAATGCCGCACGCCTTGCTGTTATATTATACTGTACGTAATAAACGTGAACTTGAAATATGTTAGCAGAAAAAGAGCGATCAGTAAAAATGTAATCCTATGTAATAGCTAAAATTATGAAATTTTGTAACATCGGCGTGGAGTACATTTTTCTTGTTTTTCGGCTAAATCGCGTATATTTGTTTTTTCAAACAAACCAATGTTTCGGGCGCTTTACAGGTCATCAACCAGGGGCAATTTTTTCCCCAAGTTTAGCAATCGCGAAAACTTAAGAACTCGAATATCTAAAGATTTTTTATTATTTCGTATTTACGATATTACTATTTCAGAATCAAGGGTGCCTCCAATATTTTGATTGGTTTCGATATTTGTCACAACATCCGCGAACTTTCCCATTTTTACTTCAATGAAGAAAGAGGTTAAAAAAAACAAGATTATACCTCAATCATTTTCAGGTAAGTTTTTTGTACTCAATTTTGGTGACAATTTTTATTATTTAATTATTCGAATATTTCAGGTTACCACACTCGAATATTAAATAATACTTCATGATTATATTCTTTACATATTTAAATAAAGAGAAATTGTCACCAAAATTGAGTTCACAAAACTTACCTGAAAACTACCCACCTATTAGTTTTATACGGACATGGACCAATAACTCAAGAGGGCTGCTAATTACGATACAAGAAAGCGCCGTATTTAGTATGTATTGGTAAACCAGATGTCGCCACGAGTACCAAATAACTATTTTTTTAACTAATTTGTTTAAATTGACTAGCTGCAATTTACCAAAGCGACTCTAATTTCTAGTGATAAGAAACAAATCAACTATAGATTATCAAGGATATTGCACAGATTTTAATGGATCCTTTTTAATTTTGTTTAGGATTAGCGCCCTCTACGCATATTAGCAAGAGGTAATTTTAAAATTAGTTTGTAACATACAATGCCATCTATTGATACGGTAACCTGTCACAAACTCGAATTTTTTTCCGAGATAACGTTTGTTCGAATTTTAATTAGGTACACCGAAAACCGAATTATGACGAAACCGATTTCTTTCAGGATAATATGTTAGATGTTTATCGCAAAAACACGATTAGGTTAGGTTAGGTTTAAGAGATCAAATCATTTATCAAATCATTTATTTCTTTGTGATACACAGGTTATAAAGTTGTTACAAGAATGAATTTTGAATCACTGTGATCCGCCTTATGGCATACAAATATAAACTATTCACCAGTCATAGTCATTTAGATATAAGACGGGGTTTTTACCTTTTTCAGAGCTACGCTCTGTAGTGTCGAAGTTAGCAGTCGTCTTGAGTTATTGGTCTGGTAATACCAGCATGGTCCATGATACAAGTACACAGAGATCAAAATCATCAAAATATGTATGTATTTTCTTTGATAATCATCCCATAGGATATTCAATATGTATGCGATAATTGTCCATTCTGATTAATAATTTCGTGTCTTTCGCTTTTGACTAAAAATTAGTACATAGATACCGTTGACTAGACTAACGACAAATAGTTAGTGACTTTTGTTAAAATAGATTTTGACACGTTTGAATACGTCTCTGACACATGCCACGACATTTTGTTGTTCCAATTAATTTCATAAATATTAAGGTATATTTACCAAGATTATTATCGTAACCAAAGATTATTACCAGTAAATTGTTACACGCGAAAAATTTACAATTTTGTATGGGAAATTGAACAACGATAAGAAGTAATATCAATAGAACTGTTACTGTAAACTCATAGTAGGCACCCAGATTTAAAAAATCAGTTAGGAAAATGCATCAATATACTTAGGTATAATGTTCTAGTATACTAGTATCAATATATTTGTAAAATTATGAAAAAGATATGATTTATTTTTCATTTAATTAAGGCTACTGGTAATCATTCGTTTCAGCTAATATTTGGTATAATTTTAGTACCCTGACTGTAAAAACATTACTAAGTTGAGACTTCGTGTTACAAATCCAAAATAAAAGTTTTGCATGATGTACTATCTGTAATTGTCCTTAGGCTCTATTTAGATTGTGGCGAAACGGAATGGAAGCGAATTTTTGTAGCGATATTGTACATAGCATAATGAACTATAAAGTCAATTGTGTAACGTACAAACTAGATACGAGCCAAAATCTTTCATTCTGGAGCATGCGCGAGAATTCTCGCGGTAGATTTTGGTCGAAGTAGTCATAAAGATAAAGAAAATCAAGTATGATACAACGATTTTAAACGTATTTTCATAAAGAAATGCCAAGGCGGGTGTTCCCAATTATGCAATAAATACGACAACGGTCAACGTCTGCACAGGATAGTTACAACAAAATTTATGCATATTTTTATTACTTTGAGAGCAAAGTAACATAGCTCGCACCTTTAGTTTTGAATTTTTGGCAGTTAATTTCAAACTTTATGTTATATAAACAATATCAACATAGTTTACAACATTTTTATTTCATTAGTTTAATTGCGAGGGAGGCGCATTCTTTTGGAAAAGATGGATCAAATGAAGCATTCATAATATAAGCATCCATATTATAGCACAAGAAAATTTCATTTATGTATTTCCATTGGATGAATCAAAACAATTTTCTATTTAAGGGAACTTAATGTGGCACTTTTTCATTTTGGAACCAAATGTGCTAAGGGCCTAAATTCACGCTTTTTAGAGCACATAGCCACTATAACGACAGTGTCAATCACTGACAGTTGATACTTGATTTACCTTTTACAATCACGTCTCATATTACGCCCTATTAATCAACATGAAGGGTTCATATTTAATATACAAAAGCCTGTAATAAAAAAAATCGGATATTTTTTCACAGAACAATCGACGGCATATGATTTGTTCCGGAAAACCGGTCGATTCACGCCCCCCGCAAGGTCTATCCCACGCTTCCGGAAGTACACGATAGAGGACTTCCATTTCGTCAAGGTGTTGGGAAAGGGCAGCTTCGGGAAGGTAAGCATGCATGTATTTAATCAGACCATTTATTTCACAAACAGGTTTCTCTCAAGGCAGTATTTTAGTCTTCTATTTTATATAAGAAAAGAGCCTAGTTCTAAAATAGAATGATGGTTTTATATAAAGAATGAATCCTGTAATTATACGGCAATCGTATCCGACTTGCGTCTCTATTGCGTGATTTAAATAAGCATTTCAAATACGACTTATCGCCGTTCTTTAACATTTTACGTAGTCTTTAGTAGTTCAAACCTGGCTAAAAAAAGGACTTAATCGTTACCGTATTTCACACACGATAATCGTGATCTGTCTCTATCAATTTATTTATTATATTATGAAAAGAATGGAATTAATGACAAGTAGAGATGGAATACAGTGTATTAGGCGTAAAGAGGATGGATAGACTGAAGCGACTGAAGACACGTATAGCCTATGTTGGGAAAAGGACTACCACGCTGAAATGGGACTGGGCTGGACACGTCTGTCGCATGTATCCATAGCGACGTGATCACATAGCTACTTGGTGGATGTCGGAAAACGGCCAGAGACAACGAAGCAGGCTAAGAAAGATGAGTTTGACATAGACCTGAAAAGCGCCAGAAAGCGCCAGAAAGCGTCTGTACAAATGTTTATATTCGTGTAATAGCCAGGGTTTCAATGGCGGCACCATTACATCCGGGTTTATGGCTTCATTTTTGGTCGAAAAACTGTTGCAGCAAATTTTTGATAATTCTTTTGCTCCGACTGTTGTATTATATGTTTTGTAGTATAACTTGGTAAAGAATCAAAAATAAGATTTTAGTAAATGGAATTTGGAACAGCTCCGACTGTTGTGGCGGTCGAGCTGGGAGTGATCGTGGTACGAAAACAAATTGAGAAAGTGAAGGAAGATGGAACAATACAAATTTAAAATTTAAATACATGTAAAATAAAAAAATGATAGGATACAAGAGGAGAGAGGCGTTACAAAAAGGTGAGATGACGGTGAAAGCAGGTCACACCGTCACAATACCGGGGGGGGGGGGGGGGGGGGGGGGGGTAAAATCATTCAGGATTTTTTGAAGTATAATGTAAAGAGAAAGGATAATGGAAAAAGAATAAAGTAAGAATAGTGGTAGATAAGGGATTAGGTAAGTGTAAAAGTAAGTGGAAGTAGAGGAAGGAAGTGTGTTGTAAAGTTGACTTAGAGGACTTCGTCACATGTTAAGTACTTTTAAGTAAAGGAAAAAATAAGGAAGGTTATGGTGAGCTCGTAAGGGACGGAGGCATCGAAAAAAAAAAGTTTTAAATTATATTAATGTGATAAATTTAGGAAAAGATTTGGGTGATATTGATAAAGTGTGAGAAATAGCTTACAGTAGTAAATTTGAGTAACTAGGCACTAATATTTTAGTAAATATTAGCCGGAACTCTTTCAGGAATCAGGAAACTTAAGGGTGTTTACTAGAAAACGTATGATGAGAGATGAAAATAATAGGGGTCCGTAGTTTCACACTACATTATCCCCATGACCTCAGAAAACTTTGGAAGACTGTCCAAGAGGTAACCAGGAAAACACAGCTTCACACATACATACTTCAACAAACAACCAGGTATACCTCCTCATACATGCTGTCATCTGCATTGTGATAAGAGTGGAGTCATATTCTAAGACTACCACTTCTAGAAGGGTTTTTTCAAATGACGACGAGGCTTCTTTAAAGAGTTGTCAGCCGCTCCTAAAGTGGGAAAAGAAAAAGAATGAATCGACAGAGGGCTTATTTAAAGAGTCGTCTGCCGCTCTTGAAGAAGAAAAAAAGAAATTAATGAATGGACCGAAGGCTTATTTTAAGAGTCGTCTGCCGCTCTTGAAGAAGAAAAAAATGAATTAATGGACCGAAGACTTATTTTAAGAGTCGTTTGCCGCTCTATGAGAATAAAGATTAAGATCGAAGCGAAGCGAAGTTTAAAAAAGATAAAAGTGAAGATGAGAAGGTTTATGATGATTATGGAAATAGACTATTACTGATTCCTGAAGAGTGTAAACGCAATAGGATTTTCAAGGTTTAAGTTACGAGTTGTTGGTCAAGTAGATTTCGGAGCTCATCAGCAGTTTGGTTGATTTCAAAAGTTACGTTTCGTATTTTAGGTTTATTTAATTGTTCCATATTGTGAAGAAATTTAGAAAAGAGTATTTATGTTAGGATGAAAGTCGTTTTCGTATTATCCTTTCTTTTGGTAGTAATAAACGAAGAAAATAAATTTGACAGTATGTCAAAAATTTGAATAAGAATACAATTTGAAAAGAATTATGTCAAATATAAAATTACAAGATTATAGAAAATATTTTACGAAATACTATAAATATTACAATGAGATGTTTTTATGTAATTATGTGGTTTGTAATGTTGAGGAGTAACAGTGACTTGCAGGGATACTTCCCAAACAGTATCGTCTTCGCTTGGAATAACCGAAGGTTTAAACTCCAAGTTTCAACGACTTGTGAATCTACCCATGGGTAGATATCGAGATATGAAGAAAGTGTACTGTAGGAGTTTCTGGATAGTTTTATGTTTGATAGGACTGTGTTTGTAGTGCTACCGGTACACCAACTATGGGTTCAGTTACATTTGTAACCAGCTGAATGTAACGGCAGTCGTCTCTTGTATGTAACATGAGGTGGGTAGGTGATTTGCAGTGTAAATGAATTATGTGATGACACTTTTTGCACTTCTGACAGTTTTCATAAATACAATATTTCATTGTGTTTTCTTCTTATTTTAGCTTGGGGTTTTCTTCTTAAAGTTCGGCCAATGAAAGCGTTCTTGAGAAGTAGTTCGGGCGCCAAAGAAAAGCGCCAGAAAGCGCCAGAAAGCATCTGTACAAATCTTTATATTCGTGTAATAGCCAGGGTTAACTGCCTCCGTGGCCGAACGGTTACCATACCGGACTGCCACGCAGAGGTCCCCGGGTTCGATTCCCGGCCCGGGAGAAATATTTGTATGGCCTACATTTATTTCTCTCGTGAGTTTGGGTGTAATTTGTGGTTGCCTATGTGTGTGTCCATGGTACCCGCGACACAGGGTTTGCCAAGTGCGGGGCTATGTTGAGTGTGTGCGTTATTAAAAAAAAAAGTGTTGCAATGGCGGCACCATTACATCCGGGTTTATGGCTTCATTTTTGGTCGAAAAACTGTTGCAGCAAATTTTTGATAATTATTTTGCTCCGACTGTTGTATTATATGTTTTGTATTATAACTTGGTAAAGAATCAAAAATAAGATTTTAGTAAATGGAATTTGGAACAGCTCCGACTGTTGTGGCGGTCGAGCTGGGAGTGATCGTGGTACGAAAACAAACTGAGAAAGTGAAGGAAGATGGAACAATTCAAATTTAAAATTTAAATACATGTAAAATAAAAAAATGATAGGATACAAGAGGAGAGAGGCGTTACAAAAAGGTCAGATGACGGTGAAAGGAGGTCACACCGTCACAGACCTTTGTAAAGAACTGACATAATATTGCGTTAAAATAGGAGCTGTGGAAGTCGAGAGACTCTTCTCAAGTGTATTGTGTTCCCCTGCTGGCCAAAGCCCTCTTGCTCTGAGAACACAATACACTTAACAAATAAAAATGGAAAGTATGTTTTTTTTTTTCATTTAATTTATTGCTAATTATTCGTTTCAAATAAAATTTACTATAGTTTTACTACCACATCTGTAAAATAATTACGTAATAGAGATTATTCGTGTTACAAATGCAAAATAAGCATTTTGATGAAGTATTTGTAATTCTCCCATCGAGAATTCTCCTTAGTAGTCATAAAGATGAAGAAAATGAAGAATGATACAGCGATTTTGAATGTACTTTTACAGAGAAATGTCAAGCCGGTGTGATCACTATTTAATGAAAACGGGAACGTTCAATGCCTGCAGTTTCCATCCTCTAAGCTGCAGAGTATACCAGTTGTCACAAAAATTAACCTAATTTGTAGTACTTCGTACAATGTCGTGGCGGTAATGTGCCCGCACCTTTACTTTTGAACTTTTGGCGATAAAAATGTTAATTATTTCAATCTTGTCTTCTAAAACTGAGAGAGTATGTCATATGATTTGCAAAGTGATAGTATGACACAATACATTGCTCTCTGACCTCTGGGGCCGCTAACAAGATCTATGCTGTATCATCATCAACAAACTTTTACACGTCCTACTGATGGGCACGGGTCTCCTCTCAGTTTAACAATAGATTGTTCTCTGACGATGGACTTGCGCAGCAGACATTAGTGCCCAATTCGATTGGAACCTTGCATATCTATGCAAGAATAGGCGTAAGTCTGGTGTTGGTAGCTGGGGCCGCTAATAAGACCTATGCTGTATCATCATCATCAAACCATTTATACGTCCTACTGTTGTGCACGGGTCTCCTCTCAGCTTAATAATATATTGTTCTCTGACGATTGACTTGCGCAGCAGATATTAGTGCCCAATTCGATTGCAATCAGTTTGCCGACCTAAATTCACCCGCGAGCCGGTGCCAGAAGATCGTTCTCACTTGTAAAAATGGCTTCGTAGTACCGCGTATTATTTAATTATGTTACGTTTACTGTTATGACAAACTGTCAATCTGTGATAAATTAACCACATTCCATCACCATTATTCATTATCATTTCAGCCATCCATTGCTGGTCACAGGCATCTCCTATAATCGCCACGATGACCGATATTGCGTTGATTGCGTCCAACAGATTCCATATCCAAAAGCCGTATATAATGATAATTCGCTTTATAGTTAAAGTGTAGGTAGTATATGAATAGCCTGATTTTTATAATTGGTGATGTAGATTACCCAAGAAATTCAGGAATGTTTAGGTCTGAATTACGTGCCTTTATAGTGTTTACGTAGATAAATTAAGTAGATATTTTGACGTATTCTAAGTACTTAGTGACTCAGTAAGCTTAAACATTGAAAATAAAAAATCGAAATAGTTATGCCTTAAAAAAAAGGTAAACATGTTTACAAACATACTGGTCTATGGCACAAAACATATCCGACCTGTAGAGTCCAATATTTGAAAAAAATCACAATAATTAAAATAAAAGATATACGAGTAAAGTAAGTGGACGGTTCCCAAAATAAAAATACGCGTAAAAAACAAGACATTTTGCCAAGAATACAGTTTGTCGTATCTACGTAGGTATGGTATCTTGCGCGACGAATGTTGGCTGTTGAAAGACACGTCTATATTCAAATTGTGACAAGTAGATACGGTATCATGCTTGAGTGGTTATGTCTAGGCATATTTTGTATTTACAACTTGGAAATATATTTACAACTGTGGCCTGAATTAATAACATATTATATTCTTTTAGTCCTAAGATTACATTTCGTGCTTATTTTTCTTTTTTATATAATCATATTGCAATCTTAAGGTAAGTCCGCACAGCGTGTATTGTTCACATTATAGCCAATTAATTGCATTCAGATTTAATTGTTATGAAATTTTTATTACTGTGGTATTGACTTTATTTCAAGGAAATTTATGCCCAGCAATGGGACGTATGTAGAGAACACGATTTAGCACGTCAATCCAAATAACATAAAAAATGCATATATATATTTTTTGCAATGCATATATATTTTTGCTTGTTACGTTCGCAGGACATGAAACAAAAACAAAAGCCACTGAGCATTTTTTCGCAGCTCTGCCCACGTCTCTAAATTATGCAACCATCGTGAAAATAATATTCTATCCAATTTTTGTTTCGCTTGTTCTTGGCAAACAAAAATAGCAGTTATGACATGCGATTCGCATCATAGAATCAGGGTTTGAAGTATCGCGATCGTTTAATTTTCACGGCCATTAAAAAGTACCGGTTTAATCCAAGTCACGTAAACGAAATGGAGTGCCAAAGACGATTTGGATTAGAACTATGATTATTTCACATGCCATTATTTAGTAATAGCTGTATAATCATTGTTTGGTTGATATTGCATGTGTGGCCCTAGTTAAGTAACAGGAAACCCCCTCTATCTTACTATTTTATATATGTAGGTTTAGCAGAAAGCGAGTCAGGGATAATTCCAGGAGATTGAATACAAAAAAACTCAAATTTTGCCCTAAAACTAATTTTATCTGAACTGATTTTTCTAACAAAACATCACGTAATGTGCTCAATTTTCAACAATATTCACGAGTGCTTCTAACAAGCAAAATGTGTGTCATAGTGTTAGGAAATGAATTGAAAATAGTTAACTACCTGAGCTCGCACTAGAATAGGCACGAAAATAGGTCATCGGAATGATCATCGTATTTCAGTGATAATAAAATTTTGAAATAGATACTATCTTTTTACAGGCCATCTACAGAGTTCTGAGAAGAGAATATGTATTTTATGTTTCGTGGCAACAATTGCACAATATCGATCTAAACTCCACATTCCATTAAGAACGAATGTATATGTGAGAGAGTTCTTAAAATTCATCAAAAAATTCCACGAAGATTTGCTACTTTGAAAAATTTGCTTTACGTGTATCATAAATCAATGCTTTTAAAACAATATTAATATATCAATTCGCAGAAACGACAGATAAATATGTCAGCCACAAATTACGCATTTTAGTCTTCAAAGGGGGTAACAGAATGTCAAATATAAAAAGAGCAATGAACTTAAGACACCCCTCTAAAACTAGGTTTGACTATAGATTTTTGGTTTCCAGACTGCTTGGTAGATTGACAATGTTATGGACTAAGTAAAACTAAAATACTTTTTGTGTTGTATGGGATACTGAAATACAAAAGTGGAACTCGATCACTGAAGCGTGGGCGTAGAGTAGTGCCACTTTTTGAGTGCATCTTATGAAACAAAGGTGTTTTAAGAGGACGAATACATTTGAGAGCGCTATTGAAATAAAATAACTGAAGATCGTTAAGCTGTCATGCGAAAATACAATGAGACAAACAATTATCACCCAATTCGTCGTACCTACAGATGACCGTAACCTCAAGAGATGGCACAATGCCACCTGCAGCTTCGCATTCCCTTTGATTTACCTGCCATGTTAAGCATTCGTTACATTGCATCTGTGCTCTATTCTTAGTGCCTACATCACCCTAGACTGTTCACTGTCCGTGGTCACACATCCAACGTCACAGAACACGTGTCATCGGTCCGAAGACGGGCTAATGTATTTGATATGTTTTGTACACGTCACACTCTCTGATGCAGTGTAAATTATAGGCACTAATTACGAAACTGTTCCATCGTAGTAGTATATTGAAAATAATTCTTCTTGACGCATTTTGTAGTAGGTATTGAGGCAATGTGTTTTCATTATGATTTGCGTAATATCTCATTGGTAGCAGTAGAGCTCCGAGTGAAAGCGTTCGTCCAGGGAAGTACTCTGCCACCTTACCTTTTTCTACCGCGGTGATGTGAGCATTATTGCGGTACGAATTTAAAGGGTATAAGGGTGCTGGGGAAATTACATGCATGGGACTTGTCAACTTATGTCTCAGGGTGAACTTTGCGATTTAAAGCTCAGAGTGGTATTGGCGTGTCGTATACTCACTAAGCGTAACTATTAAATAAATCTGTGACTAGACCACCACCATGTACCATAATAAAAATATCCTAATATTTTGTTACAACTATTGTTCTAAAAATTGTAGGAAACTATTTATACCCAAATTTAGAAATACGGTTTGCATGATGTATGTACGTACATTTAAGTTAATTTTGAATTAAGAAAATGATTTCTCATACCCACAAAAAATTATGAATACAACAAAAAAAATATTTGTCACGCAGATAATATAGCATTACATATTTATTTGCGCACGGGGCCCTTATATACTACTCGGTTTATCACTGTATAAATACACTATAATAATCTGGCACCATTACTCGCGCCTAATTAACTTTCTTGTATTGTGACAAAATTGATTTACAGCACCAAACACACGATTATTAAAAGATAATCCCAGCAGTTACATGAGCCAGGTTGAGCAGCCGAAACTTCCTGGTTTCGCAGTTTGGCCCACTTGCCTTTGAGTCTGCGCCAAGAATACGGAGAAAGCATGATAAATGTTAGTTATAAAATGAAAACTTCAGGCTCATAAAGTGTCGGCAACATTTCCTGCCCCATGTATTAATTTCATAATGACACTAATTTTGTCAGAAAGCATATGTCATTTATAAAATGAAAACTTTAGGCTGTATTTTATATATATATATATATATATACATATAAATACAGCCTAAAGTTAATTAAAATATAAATAAATTAATTAGTTAAATTAAATAAAAATAATTAAATAAAGTTAATACTACACATATAATTGCAGTACAACTGATACATAATTGCTTTGCGACTACAATATAAGACTGAAAACAAATGGGCAGCTAAACTTGCCGCATTACAGTACAACTTTACAAATAATACGAATAAATACTTAAATAAAATAATTATTTAACGATTTAAAATACGCTTACAGAGTGCCTGTTACGGAATCCGTCATCCACTCAGCTTATTGTCGTCTCAACGACTTAGGGTTGTATTCTAGAACTCTACTCAATGCTCGAGTCACGATCTGAGTATGATTTCAAGCACTGGAAATACGACCCTAATGGCAGGGACTTGAGTATGATTTCGAGTGCTTTAAACCATACTCAAATCCTGACTTGAGCATTGAGTAGAGTTCTAGAATACGACTCTCAGTCTTGTCTAGTGCGTAGTCTTAATGCCGCTAATTTTATCTACTTTAATTTACAGAAGAAATTACAGGTATCATTACAAGGAATCCTATAATTCTACTGTAACTGCCAACATAATAAACATAAAACTGTCCGTTTGATTACTGGCATGCCTGGTAATTAATTAGGTTTACTTTGTTTTACAGGTACTGCTAGCCGAGCTCCGCGATACAGAGTATTACTACGCGGTAAAATGTTTGAAGAAAGATGTGGTGTTAGAAGATGATGACGTAGAATGTACTTTAATTGAGAGGAAAGTCCTCGCCCTTGGCACTAATCACCCGTACTTGTGCCATTTGTTTGCGACTTTCCAGACAGATGTAAGCATCTAAACTAATAATTGAATAGCTAAGACACATTTTGGGCGCCAATTTTGTACAACTCCATGAAAGCAATATAATTATTGAATATAAAATGTTTTTAGTCTCACCTGTTCTTTGTGATGGAGTACTTGAATGGCGGAGATTTGATGTTCCACATTCAGCAAAGCGGTCGGTTCCCTGAAGCGCGTGCCCGACTTTATGCAGCAGAAATTGTATCTGGGCTTAAGTTCCTGCACAAAAGAGGAATTATCTATAGGTAAGTTACCTCCTTTAATAGTTTGTAATAATATTACATATATCTATGTGTACGATAACAATTGTTACCTCTTTATATTTATTATTCATTTACAGAGATCTTAAGTTAGACAACATTTTATTAGACTATGAGGGTCACGTGAGGATAGCTGACTTTGGTATGTGCAAGTTACAAATATACTTGGATAAAACCGCCGACACTTTCTGTGGTACTCCGGATTATATGGCACCTGAGGTAAGTTCAAAGAAAATTGTACAATAAACCTTCTTTTTTTTATTTTTTCCCCACGGCTATCTTGAATTTATGTTTTTAATTTCTTAATTTCCAGATAATCAAAGGACTTAAATACAACCAAGGAGTGGATTGGTGGTCTTTTGGAGTATTATTATACGAGATGCTGATTGGACAGAGTCCTTTCAGCGGATGTGACGAAGATGAGCTCTTCTGGTCTATCTGTAACGAGATGCCGTCCTACCCGCGGTTCCTGTCGCAGGAAGCTTTGACCATCTTGACAAGGGTATGTAGCTGAATATACAAATTGCTACTTTTACAAGTAACTATTTACACAAAGCAGTTGGAAAGAATTGTATGTGTGTAAGAAATATGTGTATATAATACAAAAACTTCTTCGAATATCTTCCAACATTTACTTCAAAAGTTTAGTTGTAGAGGCCGTTAGTGTTCTAATTTTACACTCAATAAGCGATCGTACTATTCATGTTTTTTATTGTTCCGATGAGAGTAGCTATAAGTTTTCATAACGTATGCACGGAAACGTCTGGTCTAATCTGGTACTTGTTAAAAACGCATTTTTGTACAGTTGTTGGACAAAGATGCACAGACGCGACTGGGCGGCGCAGAATGCATGTACGGCGACATTCGAGATCAAGATTTCTTCCGACCCATTCATTGGGATAGGCTTGAGAGACGAGAACTTGAAGCGCCTTTCAAACCCCGTGTGGTTAGTATAATAAAAAATACGTACTGACTTTGCTTTAAAGCTTCCAGAATGTTCTTTATTATTATACTCATATGACATATATACATAAAAAAACAATCAGAAGATATATTCATTACCACATTACAGAGACACCCAATGGACACACAATACTTCGACCGAGTCTTCACTGGAGAGAAACCTCGACTTACTGCAGTTGAACCTCAGGTGCTTCGGTCTATGGATCAGCAACCTTTCAGGGGTTTCTCTTACACCAACCCCAATGCCACAGATCGTTAAGAAAATTTAAATATAACTGTGGTAGTACAATTTCGATACGACTATAAAAGGTGAGAGGTGCCAAGCCATTACTCGATTTAAAAGTGGGGCTGTCTAACTCTTATTTTATTGGTAGATATATTCCAATAGAAAAGTCGTTAACGTTCAATTGGTCCGCTACGTAGAAGATGAGAGAAGAGAGAGTTAGCGGTATTGGGAAAGTGAAAAGTTAAGAAGGCAAAACGTAATGGAATTTTATAAACTATAAATGCAAAATGATTACTTTAATGACGAATTTGTAACGGCTTTTAATAAGCGAAAATAATTTACTTTGATTTGAAATGGTTTAAAATATGAAATGAACATCAAATGTATAACAAATGCATATCAATTAATTAATTATTAAAGATAATTTGCAATATGTGTCTGGTACACATTTTTTTAGAATTAGTGAAGTATTGTTGTTAATTAGATTTACAAGCGCCTCTTGGAGTTAAATTCTTATATTTATGAATAATGATGTTTTATTCATGATCAAAATTGAATAAATTTACATCTAGATTAGTAAAACTCAAGGAAATTTTTTCTGTACAGTAAATTAAAAAATAATTTATGTACAGAGTCGGTTTTATTTCCTGTTTTGTTATTGGAATGTGACAATTCATGTATGTATTTCTACTATTCTTTCAACGTACTCGCGCCTACTCTGTAGGTAACATATCTTTTAAAAAAGATAGGAAAGGGAATTTTTATTTTCTATTTCATTTTATTTCTTACTTTTCAAAAAGGTCTGGTTTAGATATAACATTATTTTGTAACAATTCCAAAGTACAATGTGAATCTCAGTTGTCGATCTATTGTTAATATTTATTAAATTTTGTCTTTTGATTACTATTAAAATGTAAATTTATGTTCGAAATCCAAAAAATGTACCTACTTAATTTTTGGTTGTATAATGCTTACATAATAAAAGATTATAATTCTTTTCCAATGTGTTTTTTTGATACTATAAAACTATAAATCAACAAATTAGTTGTGTAGTGCCGATTCAAGATGGCGGCCCGACAAAAAGGTGCTCCGATCCGGCTGAAATTTTTGTTTGGGAGCCCATAATACGAATTTGCGGTCAAATATCTAGATTCCACCATTTTTTAATATGGCCGCCATGCATTTTCAACAGTCCACTATGTTCCGAAGTCTACATCTCGGCGAGTATTGGAGGTAGATGAGAGGCGCTCAAACAAATGTCGTGCAGAATAGTACGAGCCAACTGCAGGCAAAAAAAATTTTCAAGATGGCGGACTCAAAATAAAAGTGCTCCGATCCGACTGAAATTTGACAACCGATCGTGTATGGAGGTTCATAGTATGTATCTGCAAGCGAAATTTGGATCCCGCCATTTTCCAAGATGGCCGCCATACAAGTAAATTTTCGGTTTTTTGACCAGCATTTTTCTTCCAGAAGAAGAGCGGGTATATAAGAGTAATATATGCGAATAATGGTTGGTTGGATTTGGTGAGTATCAGAAAGTACCCAAATTTTCGAAAAGTGCTCCGCATCAGGTAGGACCCCAGCTGCACGGGCGAAGTATATATTTTAGCCCTAAGGTCTCCAAACAAATATTGCTCCACATCCTGGGCAGTTTCTACCGGGAGTAAAAAAAATTCAAAATTCGCAAAACAAAATGGCTGCCGTACAAATTTCGGGGACTATATCTCTGAAACTATTAGAGATAGGTAAATTATATTCAAACTAATGTCCTTGAGGGTGACAGGAGCCAATCGGCTGTCAAATTTATTATTTCAAAATGGCCAATTCAAGATGGCAGCCAGAAAAAAACACCGATAGTGCTGAAATTTGGCACCTGACCGTGTATAAGGTCTCATAATACAATATTGCGTTTGTGGTTTTTTTGATTCCGCCATTTTCCAATATGGTCGCCATACATTTTCCACCGTCCAACATCATTGTTCTAATAGAACGAATCGAGGTATATTAAATAAATGTACAAGGATTGTGTTTGACTAAGAATATTGAATACCAGAAAAGTAGTCTGCAGCAGGTAGGACACCAGCTGCCCGGCCAAAGCGTCAGAGATGGGTGTATGGCTTTCAAAAAAAAAATTGTCAAGGAACCGTATCAGGTTCTACCGGGACTAAAAATTTTCCAAAATGGCGAATACAATATGGCCGCCATAAAAAATTTACTTTACTGAATCTTCGCAATTATTGATGATATACGAGTAGTTTCTTCTGAAGATGTAAGGATACGACTTGACGCGATCATACCAACTACCTGACTCCCTCAGAACCAAATAAACTTAACAAAAATATTTTTCTGAAACAAACATTACAAGCAGCAAACTGTCACAAGCCTAATACACAGGCCTCGCGGGCCGCTTTAGCAGCCCAGGGCAACGTGCAACATACTATACGATTACTACTTTTTAATTATTTTTGTGGTGGTGGGCGTTGAAATTTTTTTATCTTGCTTTGGTGGGCGGTGAGCTAAAAAGGGAACCTATGATTATACCTTTATTTTTTAACTAAAATAAAAGTATAATCATATAACCTTTAGTCTAGAAATTCTATTTTAAGCTTTGATTGCCCGACATTGAGCTTGAAGAGCAAACAAGGGATCAGTGTTAAAAAACATGATGTTTTCAAATTTAGCCGACGAGTGGTCAGATCGAAGTCCCTGAACCGTATCCGGGCAACCAGGTCGTTCCGCTCGGAGACCCGCGCAGGGCACTCCTCCAGCGTGTGCTGGGCCACCAGGATTCCTAGTCCCTCCCATAGTGGTGGCACTGCGTCGTCGATTCGCGTCCGATCGATTCAGATTCTCACCGAAGCATTCGTGCCCAATGAGTATCTGTGGCAGTGTTGGGCGTTAATCAATTAAATTTCAATCAATAATTCAATCAGATTAAAAAATCAATTCAATTGATTTTAATTGCAATTAAATTTGCAATTAAAATCAATTCCGGGGCCTTCAACCGGGGCCCCCAACCGGCCCCCTCCGGGCCCCCAACCGGCCCCCTAACCTGCCCCCAGCAGGCCCCCACAACCAACGCCCTAACTCACCCCCATATGCCTTATAAATTTATCATAATTGTCAGTTTTAATTGTTAATCAAAAACATTGAAAAGATTGAAAATTGATTAATTGTCAATTGTGATATTTGCGATTAACGATTGATCAATCGTTAATTGCTGTTTCGCAATTGACAATTAATCAATTGTCAATCTTTAATTGCCAGAACAATTAAATTTTGCCCAACACTGATCTGTGGCAGCTGCAATGTGGTGACGCACTTCCGCTGTCTCAACCAGACTTCGAGGTTTGTCAGGATCGCGCCGACGGCGCGGTGGCGCGTGATCCACGGCTGCTCCTGCCTCTCGTGCCACTTCTCGAACGCTCGTCGGCGCTTCTGCCACCGCACTTCCGGCGGCGCTGCTTCCTCCGCATGGCGGTGGCGCGCATAGATTTACGCGTCTATCACCGCCAGGATGTCCAGCGGGGGGAAACAGCGCCAGAACAATCGACGCGTCAAAGGATACGGTGCCGTATTCTCGTGCGATCCTAATATCCGTGTGGCGCTGCACGCCGCTGAGCATGACTCTGCAGCGCCGGACGCCCGTCCGTCGGTGTGATCAGACGGGTGCCCCATACAGGGCCACCGATCGCACCGCCCCACCGTATAAGCGGCGAACTCCCTCCGATGGACTCTCCAGATTGGGCACCAACCGGTGCAATGCACCCGCCACCCTATCAAACCGGGATATATCAACCCGACTCAAAACCATTGTGCTTGCAGATCCCCCACACAAAGTATATTCCAACTGTTCCGTGTCCATTAAGTCTAAGTAAATTTTTAGCAGCAGTAGAGCTCCTTGTTATAGAGTTCGTCCAGGTAAGCACAGCCACCTTACCCGTTTCTGCCGCCAAGTAGTAATGTGAGTATTACAGCGTTTCGGTTTTGAAGGATAAGGGTGCTGGCGAAATTACAAGCACATGGGACTTGTCAACATATACTCAGGGTGACGGGCGTAACGGCAGTGCCCCTCAGGACTTTGCGATTTAAAATGCAGAGTGGCATTGGCGTGTCGCTCACCACTTTGTTCGTCCCGTCACTTGATATTATAAAAAAACAGTCGTGTTTGCTAAGCTAAGCTATGTCGGTACATACAATTTCACAAATCAAAAACACGCACATATTTGTTGCTAATCCATTTATTAAGTGTTAAGTACAAAAATACCCGGCATTACCGACCTTAAAAAACGCATAACAATACTTTCACAAAAAAACTTAATATATGTCACTTATTTAACACTAACCTTTTAAATATAATTTTCATCACACTTGCTCGCAAATAGTGTCAATATGCAGGCAAAGTCGACCGTGATGTCCTAAATTACGCCCACGGGTTTTTCATTACGTTACCGCCTTATAGTAGTACTGGATTTATTTTATTTATTTCATTGCACTGTACTTTTCAACGTTAAGATTAAACAAAAGTTTTATACTCGAATAATCTGAGTGTATTTCGCATAAGCTGGATGAATAGACAAAAAAAACTAAACATTTGCAATTTAATTATACTTTACAACGTTTTAGTTCGAGTTGTATTAACAATAATTAAAATAATAATTATAAATATTAATTAATATTTATAATAATTAAAAAAAAACAAAAAGATCCGCCATTTGCAATCTGTAATTGTTGTGTTGTGAGGCGATATATATTCATGCAAGAAATAAATTATCATTGTATTTACTTCCCCGCAAATGTGATGAAAAACGTTGTATGTAGCACCACAGGCGGCAAATAATTCCAAACCTCGAGTCATTGAATAGTCTCTTGTTCGTAATTTCTTATTTACCGTCCTTTACACACAATATACTATTCATTATTAACTCGCGTTTATCCCTACTAATTTATTTCATAATACTGAAAGTTATTGTCATAATTTGGATTTTCACTAAATGGCATTAGTCTTTATTAGGCGTTGGCTATTTTAAATTCATTCCTTATACTCGTAGGTTTTTACACAAATTGGACTGGCCTGTCTTAACACACCGATGTACAGAATAACTTTTTGTATCGATATGTCACCATCATACAGATACACATATAAACAAATTGTTTTCCAAAGTCCAAGCTTCCGAGGCTATTGGAAGTAATACTGATATATTTCACGTTATACACACACCGACACATTTCGGGAAACAAAACAGTGATAACATGAATAGTAACGTTTATATAATTAATTAGTAATTACATTAACCTTACTCCCCTTGAAAAAAAAATTCTAAATTAAATAAAATGCATTTTTTTAGATTTTGTGACAAAGCAAAAACCAAATACAAAGACATGACAACAAGCACATAGAAAAAATTCGTGAGGTCCGCTGGTTCGTTCCGTGGCTTAGTTGGTACAGCGTCTGGCACGGTATGCTAGAAGACATCGGTTCGAATCCGGCTGGACCAAAGGAATTTTTTCTGAGTGTTGGAACTTTGTATTAATCATTATAACAAACTAGTGGAGTAATTTTACATAAAAAATAATTGAATATCAATTCAATAAAAATTTAAAAAGCAAAAACAGCTGAAAATTTTACTGTCACTGTTTAACATTTATTAAATTAAACTTTTTTAATTAAAAAAAGGTCGAACAAACACAAAGAAAAATTCCTGCGATCTGACTGGACGAGTCCAGTTCGACCAGTATCTGTTGCTCATCCTGGCTGTTATGTAATCAGTGAAAAACTTGTATTCGACGTTAAAAATAGTACTATAGACATAATAGCCTCGGAATATACTCAATCATGATTTGCACATGCCTAATCCATACCGTATATGTTCCGGGTACCGTATTATTAATTCATAAATATGAAATCGCGTGGCCACGAATACTCTATGAGATTCTTTTACCTCGTGAACTTCTATACACACTATTTCCGGATTGTCATCTAAATAGTTGTGGTAATGTTGTATATATTCTCTCACTTCTGGTTTTCCACCGTTTGTTAAGTTCTTTGCGAGGCCGATTTCAATCTGTAAAAAAAAAAATATTTTTTTCTGAAATATAAACAAAAAGTACGTGACGTGAAAGTATAATATACAGGGCGTCTCACAACTGTGCCACACGGGAATCGAATCCTTCAAATGTGAAAAATAAAACGCCTGTAATTTTACTATACCGATCGAAAGCCTCAATCGTAAGGATTACTTTATTCTAAGGTAACAGAGCACCTTAAATAAAAGGAAGATCATGAAATTTAATATTTAATGAAAAATAATTAGGTACAATTTCTCGCTCTTTTTATAATTTCGCTTCTTGTTAATTTATTTATCTTTTCATGGTGAGTATTTAAAATAATAAATCTAATTTTTTCTATAATCTATAAAAATAATTTAAAAATGTTGGGGCGCCCATTCACGGGGCCTCGCGCGGCGACGTCACGCCTGCTTCGATGGGTGGGAACGCTGACCGACCCCCTGACCGAACCCTTGAGTGAACCCTGACCGACCCCTTGACCGACTGGACCCTGACCCATCCTCTAGCCCACTCCCAAACTCACCCTTAACCCGCCCAACCCAAGCCCTAGCCCAAGCCCTAACCCACCCTCATATGCTCTATAAATTTATTATAATTGTCAGTTTTAATTGTTAATCAAAAACATTGAAAAGATTGAAAATTGATTAATTGTTAATTGTAGCTATACGCGATTAACGATTGATCAATTGTTAGTTGCGAGAACCGCAATACATCAATTGATAACAATTGATCAATCGTTAATTGCTGTTTCGCAATTGACTTAATTAATTGTCAATCTTTAATTGTCAGAACAATTAAATTTTGCCCAACACTGTGTGTGTCAAACGATTCAGCTAATAACAGTAAGTTATACAGTTTCTTTCATTTTATACATATACAGTATACACAGTATATTCTTGCACTTACAAAGTAACAACGTATTTATGATGAGGAATTAAAAAAATTATGCCAGAGGACGAACAAATATCATACTTTATTTATCAGTACCTTTCCATCCTTAAATCCTAGTAGCAAAACGTCACCGTGCTGCGTCGCACATGATAAATCTGGGTACTCCATGATCACGCTGTTCATGTCTTGGTTGATTTTGAACTCTTTGTCTGATGGCACTGCCGGTGAAAGAGAAGTACGTTGCCATTATTTTCACTTTAAGGGCCAACGCAAGCCGGCGAACGGCGACGGAGAGCGTCGAAGAGTATTTTATGCCCGCCAGCGCACACCGTTGAAGAATACTCCTTACCGAGAATCCGCCAGCATACCGCAGTACCTGTCGCTCGGACTTGAATCCATTCCACCATTGACTACGCAGTTGAAAAAAAAGTTCCCGGCGGCGGCGCAATCAGGAAGATACCGGCGCATAACGGAGCATTCCATTGCATGCCGTCGCCTCCTACTGCAGTATCATCTAGCGTGGTCTTTAATGCCTGAGAGAGGAATGCGCCGCGATGTTCCAAGGTCGGCCTTAGAGCATTGCAATTTATACCTTATTACATAAAATATACATTGATAAATTTAATATCCTCTGCTTTCCCACCCGCCGATTTGCGCTGGTCCTAAATTAGTTTAATGCTGATGATTATGACACTTTGCATTACAATCAATATTCACAGCAAGCTATACACTTTTGTTCGAATATCGCCGCCAGTGCAACGGAACGAGATCTGTCAATGTACAGTTGATGTGCTGCCGTTGCAAAAATGTTGAAGAACAATTTCGGTAAAATTTTTAATAAATTTCGTTTACATGAGTATTAGAGCACCTTTACGTTAGAAGAATCTGATAAGGCTCTAGTAACTTTAAGATGATATCAAGTTTGATACTTTGTACTTTGGACCGTCCTTATCGGAAGCAGTTTAATTTAAATCTTAAATGACGAGCTCGAAGTGCTCTTGACCCTGTATATTCTAAGTACACTTTATATAAAGATTTTCTTTGTCAGAATAGATGTTGTCATAATCAATTTAAGTTGCTGAGGCAGTTTGGTTTTTATAATACAAAGTGACAGGACGAACAAGTCATGCGCCTGGTGGTAAGCGACAAGCCTATCCATAACAGTTGTAGTGCCACTCAGAGCTTTAAATCGGAAAGATCTTAGGGACAATGCCATTGCGCCTGTCACCCTGAGATACAAGTTGACAAGTCCCATGTGCCTGTAATTGCAGCAGAACCCTTACCCTTCCAAACCGGAACGCAGTAATGCTCACATTACTACTTGGCGGCAGAAATAGATAAGGTACAGTACTTCCCTAGACGAACTCTTTCAGAAGGAATTCTTGTGCTACAAAAAGATTATCGATGAAATCTATCGATTGGGAAACAATAACTGTACTAGTAAATGAATTTTGGATAATAAATGAGAGTACCGTTTACGGTACTTCGACCTTTAGATCACAAGTAAAAAGTCTACTTACCGCCAACAATAGCAGAAAACTTATGGAACAAAACGCCGTTCCCAACAGTGTAAGGAGGAATTTTTAGGTCGCATACATTCGGTATAGACAATTCAATCTTATTAGCTCTCAACAACATTGTATATTGCATTAACCTATACTGTTCTATGGTAATAAGATGTGAAAGAGGCTCAAAGTTCCTTCCTTTTCTGTCTAAACGGAACACGGTGCCCGTTTTCAGCATCAAGTAGACGTCTTCTTCATAAATGTGTATATCTGCTATAGACCTTGTGCATCCGTAATATCGTGCTAAGACCAAATCTTTCCATTTTTTCTCATCTTCAAGCCATTTGAAACACATAAGCACGTTCCTCTCGTTTAGTATGTAGAAACAGTTATCATTTGCTCTAGAAGGAAAATTTACTATCATTATCATCAACCCATATATACGTCCCACCGCTGGGTACGGGTCTCCTCTTAGACAAGAGTTTTAGGCCTTTGTCCGCCACGCTGGCACAATGCGGGTTGGGGTCGCATGTTTCCCGTGGGCTGTGAATCTTCTTCGACGTGCAGGTTCCATCACGATGCTTTCCTTCACTGAACAGCTGGTAAATTTCAAAATAAATTTCGCACATAAATTCCGATTTATTCAGAGGTGCGAGACCGGATTGGAACCCACGGCCTGGGCCTGAGAGGCGGTAGGTCAAACCATTAGACTACCACGTTTAAATTACAGATATTTCTGTTCAGAAAAAAGTTACACTTAGTTCCACTTAAACTCTGTTCGATTGTATTGTCTTTACTTAATTACTATATTAATAATAACTGCCTCATTGGCCGAATGGTTACCATGCTTATCTGGCACGCAGAAGTCCCGGGTTCGATTACCAGGCCGGGAGAAATATGTGTATAGCCTACATTTAATATATGTATTAATTATCTCGTGAGTTTGGGTGTAACTAGTGGTTGTCTAAAGGTTTGGATAGGTTTCCCTGTTGTAGGGCTTGTGTACGTTGTTATTATTATTACTAAATACAATATAATTTGATAACCATCGTGGCCCAGTGGTTAACACTGTGGGCGCTAGATGAGGCAGTCGTGGGTTTGATGCCCAGTAGGATTAATTTTCGACTGCTCCGTATTTAATTTCATTGGCCTAATACTCATAGTAACTTCTCTACTTTGAAACCAGTTAACCGATGAGGTTGGAAAAAAAATGATCCAGTCATTTGTATTCAGTATATAGAAAGAAAAAATAAATAATGACGTTATTAGAAGTAAGAATTTTGAACTTTACACAATAAGTCTTCTGAAAGGACCCTGCTTGATAATCTTCATAACCATCCGATTTATTTTCTCTTCGTCATTATCTGAAATAGAAATGTGCATTTTCACTCAATAAGTAAACAACTAGAGTTGTAATAATAATATATAATTATTATACTATGACTATGCCATTGCCGTGGAATACCGCCTCCCCCGTTTAATAATTCAAAATAATATTTTAGGCCATGGGAGAGACGAGAGTCTAGGCTAAATAGAATGGCGAAGTGGGCGGGTACGCATGCCACATTCTTGACATATCATCAAGATACCCCGGGCGCTCCTTCAGTACGCGTCGATTCCTGCTACAGTGTAAGTGAAGCAAATTCCATGCAAAACGCCATATGTGCTGTTCCTAACTGCCTGACAAAGTGCGAGTGTTAGTGGGTCAATTAAAGGACTTAATTATCTTATTCTGGTATTATTTTACTATTAATATGTAACGACTTCTTATAATCAACAAATAATTGAAAAATCATTATTATAAATACGTCCAACGTCCGCGTCCTCGATTTTTTTTTATTCTACTCAATTGCTTTAGTGCTGATGGAGGTTTCCCATCACTAAGTAGCGCTTGTGACGTCTTCGGGGACACAAAAAGTGTGCCACGGTTAGTTTTCATATAGATCGCGGTACCTACTTGCAGTGTCTATGTAGATATATGTCTGTGCTTAATACCGTAGTCTTTGATCACAAGTTACGTTTGGAACATTAAAGTGTGGCGCTAGTATGAACATTAACTTTCTTCCACTACGACGTCGTTAGTCACTTACACCATATAATAAGCAATGGTCGATAAGGTAGGTCAGTAGTTTAGTCCTACGATGCAGTAAAACCATTTCCGGAAATGCGGAATTTGAAAAAGTAATTAATAAATATTTGGTAGTTTTAACAACTCTATATCACTCATTGTAGATACATGTATATATAATATAATATCGATTTGAAACACCTTTTTTCGACCATTGATAATAAGACAAGTAACTAACTCCATACAACGAAGCAGTGCGGGTTGTGTTGTGTATACACACTCGCATTATCTCGCGGTGCACTCACGTTGTATGGCGCGGATCGTACCAATTCAAATAGTAAAGGTGTTTATTGTGGTTTAAACAGACTGACTCAAATTCAGATTAGATTAGATTAGATTAATGTTTATTTGCCAAAGTACAGTAAATATACAGGTCTTAAATTAAATTGGTACGATGTATTCAACCTGCAAGCAGGTGTGCAAATATATTGGAATTTATTGGTACAGGTAATTGAAGTTAATTAAAATGTCAAATATTTCTAAATTCAAAGTATTCCTTCACTTTTTATTTTTATGGCTCCATCAATATGAGAACTGATGATTTTGCCAATGTCACAGTTGAAAGAAAAAAAACGAAACAAAAAAAAAAAAAAATTTCGCATTCCTTATTACTATAGAGGCAATGTGTCATAAGCCATCTTGTCAATTGTAGTTTAAAATTATGTCCGTGTAGTAATTTAATGTCACTTGGTAAATTATTAAAAATCTTAATGCACATGTTGTAGCAGTTATTTGTGTAAATTATTTTATGGCAACGAGGTTGATATAATTGATTCATAATTTTAGGCCGTGTTTGTCTTTGAAATATTTCGCCACGTATTTTAAAATGTTTAGGATTAGTCTTAACAAACACACAGATGTCTCTGATATACATACAGGGGAGAGGTAAGATGTTTAGTTTTTTAAATAGGGGCTTGCATGTGTCATCTGCTTTAGCGCCACAAATTGCGCGAATGCATTTTTTTTGTATTATAAAAACCCTACCTACATCTACGGAGTTCCCCCACAGTATAAGCCCATAACTTAATACAGAGGAGACGTACCCGTGATAAGCCATCATTGCAGCGTCATGAGACACGGTTTGTCTTAGCCTACGTAGGCCAAAGACAAATCTATTCAGCCTGTTGCACACGTGATCAATGTGATGTTTCCACTTTAAATGTATGTCAAATTTCACTCCAAGGAAACTAAAACAGTCGACTGTATCTACTACTTGATTGTTATACTGCACTTGAATCGGCAATGGATTAGAATTATGCGATCTGAACTGCATGAATTTTGTTTTGCTAATATTTATATGTAAGTCATTTGCATTTAACCATTTGATAACTTTATATAGTGCGTCATTTAATTCTTTTTCAAAGTGGTCTCTATAATAACATTTTAATATAAGAGTGGTGTCAGAATTGTTCAGCATTTCATTTCTTTTTCATAATCATACTTCTATATTCGAGATATTAATCAGCGATGTTGGTATAAAAATAACAATTCGTAACCACTGCATTTAACAAGAGTTATTTCAATATAGCACGAGAATACTGTGATGAACGCCTAAATTTTTTAAACTATGTTTAAAGTTCTGAAAAATACAGCTATTCCACCATTCCAGACTAAAGTAATCACTCGACCCATTGACTTACAAATAAATGGACGACGGGTCTAATACAAAAACCACGAAAAAAATGTCCCAAGTCAACCTATTCGAAATTTAAATTGTAATGTCATCGCAGTATCGCGCTGTCAGTAGAACAAATGAAGACTAAAGCGGAGTGTCGCGCTCTGTATACGATTTTAGCGCCTTACAAGTGCGGACACTTTTTAGCGCGGACCCGACGTCCATATAATTGTAAGTCAATGACTCGACCCCAATGTTTTTAATGAAATTACGTAACGGCACGAACAAGATGTGCACCTGGTGTTAAGGGACACATCTAACCATAACAGTTACAGTGCCACATCGCCGTTACCATGCCACATACAGTTTATAAGTCACACGTGCCTGTAGTTTTTTTTTAAATTTATTATTCAATTTACAATTAAACACATATGTACATTTAGATTTTCCTTTAAAAAACCCTTTAATGGGTTTATGCGAAAGGAATTGAGTCGCAATAACTAAATACTAAGACAAAAATATTATAATTTAAACTAAAAAAATAATATAATATAAGTAAATAAAGTTATGAATTCTGCCCTTTAAATCCATCGAAATAATAACGTTTTACAGCTTGTTTACATTTTTTTACACTTGAAAAAATATCCTCATGAAGCTCTGCTGGTAATTTATTTAGTATGTCAGGCAATATGTAGTTAGCCGCCCTCATACCGTACGTACTAGTGGTTCTAGGCAGTTGAAATGTGGGCAGGTAAGTGGTGTTGCGTAGCCGACCATCTCTGCTCGTTTTCATGATTTGGCCAATCTTGTCAAAGTTGTCCAATAAAATAATCATATTGGACTTCTCAAAAACCGACATCACCTTACAATGTTTGAAAAGACCGAGGTTGTCATCATTATATTTATTTTTAACTTTATTTGACACTATCGATTTCAGTATACTAACCTGCAATTTGTATATTTTATCTATGTATGTTTTGTAAGTTTCATTACTACCATTCAAACCGGAATGCAGTAATGCTCACTTCACTGCTTGATGACAAAAATAGGTATGTACAAAATATAAGGAACTATATTTTTTAAATTGCGATTTCAGAGGGGTCCTCAGATTTGTTTTACCTATCGATGGGTTATATCATCTAAATAAAATCTAGCAGACTTACGATCACATTATATACATTTTTTTACCATTGTTGTCTTCGTTAATCCAAAATCGGCTGCCCTCTCCCCGCGCTAGCGCCGACCTCTCTTCTTGAAGTTTTAACAATATCTTCTCAGTAAGTTCTTTGTATGTAACTCCGTCCTCTTCTATTTTGTAGCATTTCATCTGTAAGTCATCTCCTATTTGTACTATCAGGTAATCTGTAAAGAGTTACTTCATATATTTCAACAAATTTTAAGCCTTTATGTCTAATTGACTTATATTACTTGTTAATATACCTGATGCACGCGTAATACGAATAAAAAAAAACGGGATAATAAACGTATGTCCTTCCGATAATGTCTGCACACGGCAGTGTTCAAAGTAGACTTGTATCGACCGATCAATTCTAATCATGACCCATGCGTAATGTAATCGGGTCAAATGATTCGATCATATGTTCAATATTTTAGCGGGTCACTTGTCGCTCACGATACTTCCATGTTAAAGTGTCAAATGATACAATTATTGTACTTTTGTTCTTTCCTGCTGATAGGTAATGTACAAGATTAAATGCGTCACTGATAAATCACACTTAGTATACAAAAACTTCTCTCTAGGAAACTTAACTGCTACAAAATAAAAGTACATAACAAAAAATTTACGAGCATTCAAAATT